CAGCACAAGAGAAAAAGAAACAAAAAACTGTTGATGATTTTGAAGGAGATATTGATGATAATGAAAGTATTGAAAGTGTTTCAGATGATGAATTTGATAAATATCTAGGTAAGAAAACAAAATAGGACTGAAAGTTATAAGAGGAAAATAAGTAAACTTAACATCTGTAACTAATTCAGATGATTTTAAACAAATCTTAATGATATCGATTAATTTTTGATCGACAAGAGATTATCCTACTGATGTCAATGTTATTGCCATTAACTGTTTTCTCCTTACAAACTTGGTTTGTTCTGATTGAATATTGGTGAGATATTTGATATAGAATAATTTCAACACTTCTCTCCTTTAATAAGACATAGAAATAAAATAATATAATAATAAATGATCAGCATCATGATGGAAGCTATAAAAAACCGATAAGAAGTCAAGTATCAACTCAACTGATCACGTTCATATAATAAAATAAAGTGATATTCATTGAGTTTTAAGCTTCTCTTTACAATCATAATGGTAGTATTAGCATAGTGAACATTGTGCCTATAATTTTATTGGTACAACTTTTTTTACTACAACACTAAAATTATAGTTAAAAAAAATACTGAATAAATTCTATTATGAGCTTTCAATCGTAAAAATAATAATGACAAGTATTCATGCTTGAAAGCTTAGAATATTCAATTATGATCTAATCTTGTTTCTCGTGACAATTACTTATTTTATATTTCATTTTTATTCTATGTTCATTAGACCATTTTATGGACGATATTGATAAGAACGAGATTGATCTTGATGAAGATGATAACAATAGTGTTGAAGATATTGCAAGGTTCGTCATTATGATTTAAATATCTACTTTATTCTATTGAAAAGATTTAATTCTAGTACTGTACAACGAGTTCATCGTAACGATGAATTAACAAATAATGATGATGATGATGATGATGACAAGAACAAGCGCCCTTTTACATTAAATGATGGTGATGAACTATCTGATGATGAACAACTAGATAACAATGCACATGAAAAAATTAGTAACCAACATATACATGAAAATTTTAAAGTGGATAATGAACGAGGTATGAAAATATTTTTGAAGATTACTATTATTATCATCGACATTGTTTTTCTATTATATTTAGAAATGAAACAAATCAAATGGGAAATGGATCGTGAACGTACCTATACACAACGATCACGTCGTTATGATCAACATATTAAGAAGACATCGAAACGAAAACCAAAATTAACTCGTCGTGAAAAACGACGTCAAATGAACCCACAACCGATTATTAAAAAAAAGAAACGTGTTCATTTTAGTTGATTTATTTGATTATTTGAAAAAAAAAAGAAAAAGAAAAAAAGATGTGTAGTAATCGATTGATTGCATAAAAAGATTTCTTTTTTTATTGTTTTAAATTTGAAAAGAAGAAAAAGACAGTTTCGAGAGGTGTATACACTGGTTTTTTTGCTACGTATTTTTCAAGTGTTAAGCCTTGAACTTTGAGTATCGATGAAGAAAGAGAGAAATAGAGAGAGAGAGAATGAAATACATATACAGTAACCAGAAAATGTAAAGGCTATAAGATGAAATTTTAAACCTGTTGTTGTTGTTGTTGTCGTCGCCTGCTATTTCATGAAGGGAAACCGTAAAGATCAATATTATTTTTAGTGATCGATGTCTCTCTTCTACTTTTAACATATGCATATACATATATTTATAATATATTTAGCTATCAAGGTTAATATTTTACTAGTCACAATTTATTCTCAGACACGAACAAAGACACGTTATATTGTTATCAGATGTGGAGTGTATATATGTCATTGAGAGTAATCCATCTAAAGGACTTAAAGAATAATTTTACTGGCTCATTCGATGACACATTGCGGCAGGAAGAAAGAGATGAATGACCCTTATGGGGACCAACCTTTCGACACACACACACACACACACACACACTCACACTCATACATATTATAGTGTGTATATAGATGTAGGGGTGTATGTATGTATGGTCACTAGCAGTCAAGATGTATATTAGCCATTCCGGTGTTCGCACTCGGTAGGTTGAGCGTTAGCGCATGTTCATTGTCTGACTTTTTCTCTCGTTCTCACGTTATTATGTTTGGTATTCATAGTGAGAGCGCAGTTGGAGGGCGCGTTAATGTATCATCATTAGTATTGTATGTATAGGATAGATCCGATTAGGCGACAGAACGAATAGCGAAAGAAGTGATTATCGTTCGTCACTCGTCTATGCTCGATTGCATTCTCAGATTGAATTGCATTACTTTTCATTCTCTCTTTTTTTCTTCTCTTTCTTTCATACCTTATTTCTCAAATAATCTAGGTGAGAGTGAATAATTAGTTATTTAGCATAATATATACATATGTTCTATGCTATCTCAATTTAGTTATTTTAGTTCACACAACAGTTCAGATATTTATTTATCTCATATCATCTGTGCTCTTTTCTTCTGTGTCGTCATCGTCTTCTCTTCGTCTTCTTTTGTAGTAGTGGTAGTAGTTGCAACAACTACAATCATTCTATACCTTACATCGCAAAAAGAACGAAAATACTCTTTACTACTTGCACACATACACATACACATACACACATCACAAACGGAAGAAAGAAGAGAGAAAGAAGAGAGAAAGAAGAGAAGAGAGACAAAAAAGAGGTTCGTTTTTCTTCTTCTTCTTCTTCTCCTTCTCTGCGTCTGTTCTCCATCGACCATCTCATCATCCAGACGTCACTGGTGCTACTACTACTCGTCTTTAACTGTTATATTGGTCGTAATCGTATCATTCTTCTTTCATGTTTGACCTGTCGTCGATTTATTGACGACAACAATAATTATGATGCGAAAGTTTCGTAAAATATTTCGTCCAACAACAGCACATAAAAATGAAACTATTCTTACATCGTGTAGTCCTGAATCAACATCGAATAATACATCTTATATCAAACAAATCTCATCAGCCATTGACAATCAGTTATGTACAGGTAGACAAAAGGCATTTTTAGTGTTTCTTTTTCATTTTTTTTTACTTAATCGAGATTACACATCAAGGACAGTGCTTTGTGTATATGGAATTTTTCGTCATTTTCTTTTTCTATTCGTTTTTATTGCAATTAATCATCTATATGGCTTATTTATTTGTTTGTTCTACAGAATGAAATGCTTCTAACAGCAATTGCATACATTGAATATAAGTTATGTTGTTGATTCAAGGCTAGATTAAAATATAATAGAAAGTATAGAAATATTTATTTTGGATAATTTTTTTTGTATATATGTTTTCAAATAAAGTTATTGTAGATAAGATGAAATGATAATTGAATAGACAACGATTTTGTCGACAAATTGATCGGATATAGTTTTAGTCACGCGTAGATTATCCGATAGTCAAGTAGTGAGTTACTTTCATCATTTATATAGTAGCGAATAGAATTAGACATGCACACACATCTGCAGGCGTTAGTCGACCGATATATCTCACTGCTTTATTCTCCCGCTTTTTTTCTCGTAGTAAACGCTTCATTCATTCATTCTTCTGTACTATAGCAGATATATTATGTTTATAGGTCCCACATATATAACTATTTTTCGACATTCTCATAAGATACATATATAAGACAACTAATAGTCATTTTGGTTCAGTACGATCATGATGATGTAGGATATTGATAATAATAAAATGAAATATGTTCTTCATCGTTGGATACATGACACATACACACATGTATATACATGGTAGTCATTAGTACAGGATGTACACTACAGTATGGAGAAAATTCATCTTCATATACTGTATTATTAGAATATAAAATACAATGAACAAAGAGACAAAAGATATTTTATGCTTGTTCATTGTTTAGTTAATAATATATTAAGCTTATAATGAACAAAAAAAAAATTTTTTTCTTCTTTATCTTAGCCTTGACTAAAAGGTTCCGAAAGGATATTTTTTATTTGAGAATAAAAGGTTTACAGAACAAGGTTATACATTTTTTTCTATTCTTATACTACTATTCATCGCAGAGCAGTAGCTTCTCTTTGTATTGATATGACAAAAAAGAAACTCTGTTTCATCGAAGGTTAATTTGTTGGTCAAAATGTAAAAAAAGCAAATGATATATAGAAATATTACAACAGATGTCGTTTGATTTAAAAATAATCTTTCTAGATTTCTATACAAAAGTTCATAAATTTGTAAGTGTAGAAGAATATGAACATTTATAGTTGGTTATTTGATATCCATTTTACGGATCAAAATGGATCAACTCACTTAGAAAAGTATACATATACATATATGAATTAAAATCGATATCTTTTTATATGTATGAATAAAGAAATTTAAGAATTGTATAAAGTTATAAAATAATCATATTTTTGATTGATGTGCATGAAAAATATTTTTGAACAATGTCTAATGGACGGAAGACTTAGAAGAAAAAAAGCGTTTTGTCTATTAAAAAAGTATATTCGATCGTTTGGATGGAATAAATTATGTTTCGTAATTCAGAATACATAGTGTGTTGAACAAACATGCGATTATTATATACAATGAAAAAAAGTACATCGAGGTGACGATGCGTATAGTATAAGTAGTTGTGTTGATAACCTCTTTCTCCTGTGTGTCAAGGCGTTCAGCATATACATGTATATATTTAGAAAGAAAAAGAGAAGTTTCACTTCGTCTTCTTCTTTTTTTTTCCTTTTGTGGTGAACAGACATAAAAATGTTGAGCGTCTATTTCATCGTCGTTTATCGTTCGGCATAATGAACAACACCACGGTATAAAACGAGCAAGTGAAAGAGGAGAACAATAACAACAACAAAAATTTCACATCTATTTTTACCGATTACTTCTTCATTTTGTATTAAGCAACAAAATTTACATTGTTGTACGTTAACACGCCGATTAAAATATATAAATTATTTTCTTTTTCCTTCCATTACTTATTTATTATTATTATTATTTTATTAAAATGAAGCGCTATAAACGTAAACGAGGAAAGAAAACATCAATAACAAAACAAGGTGAGATGTTTTAAGAATAAAATTTAAAAAAAAATGTGTGTGAGTGTATAATAATTTTTTTTTTGATAGAGAATTTTTTTTCTTCTGATAGTAGTTTTGTATATTTATCATTCTAGAGTTACCTGATACAGATTGTGGTGTAACAAATGAACATAAAGAGAATTCTTTTTTGATTTTTATTAAAAGATCAAGGAAATGTGCTTATCATATACGAGCAACATTTGTTGAAAAAAAAAGAAATCATTGATAAAATATATTTTAAAGAGCATTCGATTTCTGATTTTTATTTAATTCTATATATATAACTAAGACAATTGAATTATGATGTATGATCTATAGATACACACACGTGTTATGTATACAAGGATTAATTGTTGATCTAATCCAGATAACATGATCGTTCATTTCGATAGTCAAGTATATATATATATATGAAGAACAATAGTATAGACATAGATGTTCTTTTTCTTTGTTCTTTGTTCTTCCTTTTTCGGTATGTTTTGAAGTTACTGATTCTAGTCAGACACTACCTCTTGGTGTTTTTTTTGGGGGGGAGTACTTGTAAAGGAAAAGAAAAACGAAATGAAGAAATGATTATTTCTTTACAAACAACAGACATATTGAAAGCCATGACGTCGGGTAAGACTTAGAGCAAGGCTAGTCGTTTTTTTTGTTTCGTATACATAGAAATTTGTTTTTTTTTGAAGGTTAAAAAGATGATGATTAACTTCTAACGAGAGATTGATAGTTCTGCGGTTTTTTTTGTTACCTATATAACGTCAGGTTTAATCAACCAGCTGTTGTTCATTTTTTTTGTGAATATGGTGACAGGTTGAGAGAATATTCAGTGTCCAATCGATAGATTTCTATCCTTCTGAAAGATAAAAGAACAGTGCAACGTTTTCTTCTTTTCTTTTTATAACAAAAATGACAAACATCAGGAGACTATTCAATTTATTTCTCATAAACCGCACGATTAGTAGTTTCCTCGTTCTCCTATTTCTGTTTGCGTTAATAACCGACAGTCATTTTGTCAGAGTATTACCTTGAAAACAGATCCGATATCTCTACTAAATTATATACGTCGACTAGCTTACCTGAAATATTTGAAAAAAAGATCGAATAGTAACAATACGATGAGATTTTTTTTATTATACTATTTGTTATTAAAAAAATGATATGGTGGTTATAGATGTTTCTAATTTTTTCTTTTGAAGTTTCTATTTTATTTGTGTTATAAACTTTATACATACATATTGTATACCATCATAAATGTCTACTATCTTGATGCGAGTAAGATTTCCTTTTCTTTCTTTTTCTTTTTTTTTCTTCTTCTTCTTCTTCTTCAGCTGCTCGCACTCGTCAACAGTTAAAAAAATTTGTAATGCATACACTAGGTACCGTATAAGGTGTACGTCTGTGCCATAATTTGTTTTCGATAGGTAAATTGAAAAGACCTCACGTATACGCAAGTCTCGAAGTTGACTACATCACTAAAATTCTCTATCATTGTTACTGTAGGTGTGTATATGATAAGGTCGACATATTTCTTTCGGTCGTATATATTGTCTCCTTGTCTCTCTTCCTCCAATCGCCCTTCATTCATTCTTCACCGTCCATCAAATATATATATAGATATATATACATATACATATATATATATATGTATATATGTGTGTGTGCGTACACATATACAGCAAGGGTGCTCATATCTTCTTCTGTTTCTTGGCAAGAACAAAACAATTAGTTTTGATAAAAGCAGGTGGCTGTCTTGACCGAAGTTGTTGTTGTTGTTATTGATGAACATGAATCTCGATAAGTTTAACTTAGGTAAGTTGCGCAAACGATAGACTATTATCGACGATCTCCTATAGTGGTGATAGTAGTGCTAGTGGTCATTCATAGGTTCTTCTTTTTCGACAGAAGAAAAAAAAGCAGAAGAGAAAGAACAAAAGCCTGAAGAGTATCCGATTACTTTTCATCGAACTAACGAAACAACAAAAAAAAAAAGAAAAAACTTACGAAGTATTCTCATTCAACTTTTATTCACATAGGATAAAGAATAAGAGAAGTCAACAAGAACTCTTCAATCACCTTTTTTTTTCTTGTTTTATTTCTATCGATGTTCGTTTATCCAATTGTAAGCTGTTCGTTGGTAGTCGATTATATTTTGCACTTCATATATGTATACACGTATGCGTCAGAAAAATAACGAACGATCTATTTATTATCGTTTGATAAGAACAACAAAGACGAAAATGTATTATTCACTTTTATTTTTTTTTTGCTCTTGAAAAAAATAACAATATTTAGATTGTCGAAATCAGATTCTTTTACATGAGTAACCTTATTTATTCTCTCTCTATAAAAAAGACATGATCAACATTAATTTTAAATAAAATAAAAAATTTATTTTTCTATAATTTAGAATCACCTGTTGCTAATTCAAATCCTAATCAATCAAACTCTCTAACCGTCGGAGACGATTCACCACCTAATATACAGTATGCAAAAATGCGTATTATATCGTCGCCAGTCTTTCAATTACGTGATATAATTCGTGCTCTATTATCATCCGCTCCACCATCATGTGATCTTATATCAACATTTTTAACTTATGGTCAATCATTAGGTGCATCAGCTATTCATGGATATCTTGTTGATCGTTGTTATGATACTCAAACACTGATAAATGATGAATTTTCTTCTTATCAAGGTGTTGCATTATGTATAACATATGATGCACAATTAACTGAACAACAATGGGAAGATGTTTTTGGAATTCATGAATCAACATCAACAATATCAAAAACAGCATCTTCATTTTTTCATTTAGCTGATTTTTTATGTATATTAAGTGGTTCACGTGTTGTATATTATGATCCAAATGAACGTATGACAAATGATGAACGTGCTTATGTATCAATATTTGATCTTGAAAATGATGATATTGAAATGTTTCAAGATCAATTTTCTCCATTAGATTATTTTTTATTAAAATCTAAAACATTTTATAATGGAACATTAATACGTTTACCATTACGAACAAATTCAACAACACAAATATCAACACATATATTAACATTAGATGATATTAAACAACAAATCTTAAGATATTTTCATTCAAATGAATCATTTATTGAATTATTATTAAATCAAACCAATTTAAATACAATTGAATTTGATTATACAAAAGATTTTCAATTATTAACAAAATTTTTATCAATTAATAAACATACATTAACAACAATTCATGATGCTCAATCAACTACACAACTCATCCATATGACATTATCTAAACAAATTGATGATATTAATACAAGGTTAGCTCTCGTTTTTTTAATAAAGATTAATTATTACCTAAATGTATAAAAAAAAGGGTCTTATAATCAGCGATACGAATAAGCGAAAATAAAAAAACAGATCCTCGATTAGATACGCGAAAGTATATTCGTGAGAAAAAGTCAATGAGTTTATTTGATACTCTTTCATGTCGTTGAACATGACAATAGATATTCGATCTTCTTCTCAGATTGTATTTATAAACGAGTAAGACAATAATTCTCTCTTTGTTATTCGACGTAAATAATCGATCAAAAATACTTAAATTATCGATGAATTTTGATTTAGTCAAAAATATCTCAAAATCCATCGAGAGATTACTCGTTTAAATTGAAAAGAATATTTTGCGATCTAGATAATTAAGATTCTTTTGTATTTTTAGTGATATATCTCGTTGGTTATTATCAATTAATAATGAATTTAATGAAATTGATAAACGTGATATTCAATTAAAACTTTTACTTCCTCTAACTACATTTTCAACATTAATTGAAACATATATATCATCATTAATATCACATAATTATCAATCAATACAAATAACATCAACACGAACACTTTATTATTGTGTAATACCATCTTTAAATACATTTTGTAAAGATGATATGTGTATACAATTACGTCAAATAAAATTTCCAAAAGCATATGCTCTATTTCTTAAAGATTTATCAAGATTAATCAAACCAACAACAACATCAAATTTATCGATTGATCTTATATGGGAATTAATGCCAGATATTGATGAACATCAACGTTTACTTAATGATACTCAAAAATTTTCTTTACAACAACAACAACAACAATATCTTAAAATTACCAATAATCTCATACCAGATATATGGGCAGAAATTGGTAAGATAAAATAAATAATTTTTCATTCACATATCATTCGATTCCAGTTTATTTTCATAATATCGAATTATTATTATTATCATCGATGAGAATTCTCGAAGATCTAAAAGCAAGGTCATCAATAATATGAGAACTGTTATTCTACAATATATATATTTACGAAGTTTTTTGATACAATACGGTATCTGGAAGTATATAGGCATTTAAAATGATCTTCTAGTCGTTAGAATAAACTGAGATAACTGATGTTATTAATTTGTATGTTATAGTTTGTTTGGAATTTTCCATACCGTATTTGTTTATAGTATCAAAAGCAAGGACTCTTATGATTGACATTATTCTCATTATGTCGTCAACAAATTCTGTATGTTTTCTTTAGTTGTCTGAAAATAAGAATTATTATTCTGGAAAATTTGACATAAATTATAATGAAATTTTCTTGTTATTGTCTAACTCATGGTCTTATGTCTTTGAGAATATTATCAAAATAAACGCTGATAACATTCAGGATTAAAGAATAGATTATTCATATTTTTAATTAAAATCTTGACAATGCTTAAATAATCATTAATACTTTATTCTCATCTGTTTTCTTGATTTTATATAAATGTTGTCTGTGTGTACATAAATTTCTAAATGAATTACTTTCTCTGTACAATATGTTGAAGAACACTAGTTCAAATATTAAGTACTGTCATTCAGACACATTCGACCATCTGGAATTTATATTATTACCTATAGAGATGTAGTCAGATGAAATAATTTTTCATCTTGCAGAAATTTATAAGTCTGAAGAATGATACGATTTGATTAGTTGTCGCGTAAGTCGAGAAATGGTCGTTTTCTTTTTATTGTGCTATAATGATGCTTCCTTGAAAGAGATTTTTTAGCTTCAGGCATGACTGTCTTACAGCTTTTGATCCACTTTCATTATATAAGACTCGAAACTCTACATGCATTTTTCTTTTCTCTGTTTATTACCCTGAACCGGAACAGACTGATTTAATAATCAGTAGAAAATATCATTTATAACGTTGTATTAAGAATATTATATATATGCAGGAAAAGACTAAAAGCATTGCAAATCTAAATGAATAATTAATGAGAAAAAAATGGAAAATCGTCATGACCGTAACCTCGACCTCTAATTATCTCATATTTATTGATATTAATGTAACGATTGAAAGAATTTCTCTTTATCATCGTCATCATCGTATGAACTTCAAATGTGTAAATTCTATTTAGGTAAACAAGAATTGTTCTATTCAGTTACTGATGGTTGGGGTTATGTTGCAATTGAAGATATGATTATAAATAATGTTGATGCAGGTCCAATTCAAGATGTTCTTACATTCGTATTTTCAGAAGCTAATGCACCTATTGTTATTCTACCCTCTCATGTAATCAATGGTTTATGTAAATATTCTAATAAACATTATTTACAAGTAATGACACCATTTCATGCATCGGAATTATTATCAAAAAATTCCTTAATACTTCCTCGTTTAACATATGAACAAAAACTATCATTATTAACATATATTCTATTGAATGATCCTGATCCAGGTCTTGTACTTGAATTACAATTATTACCATTAGCTAATAATCAATTTATAACATTTCAAAAGAAATCATCATCGTGTATTTATATTATTGATCATAATTCGAATTTTTTAAAATTATTCAATGAAAGACAATATGATAAATTTTTAAATCCAAATATTGACAAGAAATTATTCGATATTTTATCCTCACAAAATTTTCAAGGTAGGATTTTTATATTTGTTAAAGCTAGAAAGATTCTATATCTATTATGCGGGCTTTTATTTATTCGTCTCATTCCATGCTAGAAGCAGAAGAAGAAGAAGAAGATCGTTACAGTCTACTACAACTTTTCTTTTCTCTTCTTCTTCTTCTTCTTCTCTCGTTTTTTTTTGGCGACTCATCGCCGGCGATTTTTTATTCAAACAACGATCGTACATAGAAAGAGAAAAGAAGCTGGGAGAGGATATAGAATAGAAAAAAAAAGAAAGAAAATGTCTCAGTGGAACTAATCGAACGACGACCGCTACTGGCACTACATGCGACAACGACATTACTAATAGAAGTGCTAAGACATTATTATTTTTTTTCTGAGTAAATGTGTACATCTTTCATTTGAATTATGTATCGGTCAAATTTCTACAATCGTTATGGAGCAACACCACCGCCACCACCACCAGCTGAAAATCCGCGTCGATCTGTATCGGCTTCACGATCCCCATATGATCGAGGTAATAAATAATGAATGAATGTAAAATTTAATGTATTTATTAAATAGTTTCATATATACTGACAGATTGATCGATGAAAGAATAAGTTTATTCATGTGTTTCATATGAATTTGTCTATTATAGAAGTTCAGATATATTAATTAGAATAGTTTCGATTCATGTGCTATATTTAATAACATTCTTTTTTTTGCTTACTATTAACTGAATCTCAAGGATCAATGATTACGGATGTTTTGCAGATGTGTAGCAATAATAAGGAAATAAATCTCTATATATCAACTTACGATGAATAACAAGGGAATACAGAAGTTTTTTTATCAGCTACTAACGATGACTCATTAGTGTCTAAAAACTAAAATCGTTCATAGTAATATATTCATTTTTACATTTTGTAACATTCGATAGAAATGAAGTAAATGAGTTTATATGAAATATCTGTCTTTTTTTTGCTCTGTACATATCGCATATCTTGATGTTCTACGTTATTGAGCAAGGTCAATAAAATACACTCAATTGATCATCATGATGATGATGATCATCATCATCTGGTTGTTTGGAAGCAGAAGTGCATAGGGCGTAAATACAAGGTAAAGAAGATTCACTCATCTGTATTACGCCAGTATTCTTCTATCTACATGAACAATACAGTAACTAACTAAACATACTCTGATTATATAGTATTATTGATCTTAGTTAAGCTTCTATGAAAAGATAGAAATGATTGTCATATAGAAAAAAGAAAAGAGTGGGAAGTACTTTTTTTTTATATCAGATACTTTCGTCCTCGATTGATAAGAAACAAGCGCAGAAGAAGAAGAAAAGATGGTCTTTTAATGATAATAGCTGTTCATTCATATACGTTAACTAATACAAACAGCCTCTTCAATACTAACATCCATGAATAATATGAGAAAAAAAATCAATTTTCTTGTCGTCTACGCTCAATGACGATGGTATCGCATGTCCCATCGTTCATGTATACACGCATACTTTCATATACAGAAAATATCGTACTACATTGGCATCTTGCCTATAATTTGTCACTCATTATTATTTTTCTCTTTCTCCTCTCCTTTTTTCGCTCTCTCTCTCTTTCTGTGTCTTGTTCTCTTATTCTCTATCATATTCTTTCAACATTAACAACAATTGTACTTTAAAATGGTACTTATCCAATGCTGGTCAGTAACTACTATAAGCACTTGAGTATATATACTTCGTTGCTTTTTTTTTCTTCAATTTTTATTATACCGTCGCACTCATATGCACTTATATGTACATTTCTCATAAAATATCTATGTATATTGTTAAATCGATTATTTTCAATAACTAATCTTCTCAATGTTGATCCATGATCAAGTAAAAAAACGATAGACAACGAAGAAGAAGAAAAAAAAAGGTTTTTTTATATATCTTCAATTACCACCCAATACCAAAGAACAACAAGTATACAAAACGAAAAAAAACCCTCTAAGAAGAAGAATGGTTTTAAATTTAAAATAAATCAAATAAGCTATTATTTTTCTTTCCAATCCTCTTCTTCTTCTTTAACAACGATTATTATTATTATTATTATTATTAATATTATATAAAATGGGTAACACTACAAAGTGTTCATCAAAACCTTCATCACCTTCGAAAAGCACTTCACCATTGTATAAACTTAAAACAAGTAGTCCATTATCAACTCGTATTCACCATTGCAATGGGCAAACTTATGTTCAACCATTGTTTCCTCATTTTAAAAATAAAGGTAATATATTCATTTCTATTGATTCAATTGTTGACTGACAGCCATTGATTACGAGCAAGCACCACAAGTGATTTTCAAGAGTTCTCTTGTAATATTTTTTTTTTATTCACTTGAATTTAACTATCAACGTTCTTTACCTAATTGGACTTGACACATATCAAATGTTTAAATATCGTAGAAAAGATTAAATTGAACATGTATATAACCATTAGTATGCGTAAAAAATGAAGAAATGAATACCTATTATACACATATCGATAACATAAAGGAAAGCATGATGTAATTCTTTTCTTTCTTTCTTTCTTTCTTTTTCTTCTTTTTGATCAAATAGACAGAAAAAAAGAAAGCTTAGTAAGCAACTATATGAAAATTTTCAATGTGTAATTAGAGTTTGTGTATGGGTGGAGAACTAAATGGATGACTGAATATATTTATGTATATATCATGAAGATTCGAGACCTAACAATTTTAAGTATTGTGTAAAGTTAAAAAGGAGGAGTTAAAACGAAAGAAAGATTTGGATCAACTAGTACATATATAATCTATCAGTTCAATTTCATCTAATAAATCCTAAAGAAAACATTATCAATAAGAAGTTATAATTGAATTACATGAAAAGTTGTTCACCAGCTTAAAAAGTGCTTTTCTTTTATGATACAAGAAAGATTTAATGACTGAAATAAAATAAAAAGTGATTTTAAGAGAAGTTAGTCATTTATATGATATTATTCATAGTAATCTAACTAAAAGTATAAGATAATAATACAATATACTTGATAAGTATACGATAATATAAAGTCGTAAATAAAAACAGCTAGAATTTTGAGCAAAGAGTAACAATTATTTTGAATTCTACCTACCTACACATTACATATATACATATAAATGAATATGTATCGCTATCAGTTGTGTTACTCAATTAATGAACATTTTAAAATGAACACTAGTTCTTTTTTTTTGTAATATAGATGTATATATATATATACATAGTTGATGTAACAATTATCAGTGTAATTATAAGCATATGTATGTGTTCAATGGGTCTGTCGTGGTCATATGACATTGAAGTTTCATTTTTATTTTATTTCACGATAGTCGGACACATTTTCCAAATGTCATTCTGCATATTTTGCTTCTCGCCTGTTTCTTTTTTATACATTAGTTATTATATGTGCAAGTATTCAGGTGTTCTGATGAAGAAATGTTATAGAAAGAAAGAAAGAAATGGGGGAGAGGAGTGGAAGAAGAGAAAAAAAGAGAGTATATACAACAGGAGGACAAGAGAAAGAAATGTTATGTATGTATATATGTCAAAAGAAGTAAGAGAAAAGATCCTTTTGCTGAGACTGTATTATACGAAATAGACTCAAAGAGTCTACCTTTACCTTCTTTTACTTTCTTTCTTCTTCTTCTTCTTCTTCCACCTGTTCTCATCTATCAATGGCATCAGCCGCTGGCAATACAAATGGACCAAAAAAACGACATACGTTTCTTAGTCATTTTCTCTCCACAAGAAATTTGTCAATATTTCGAAATAAACCATCAACAACAGTGAATAATACTTTACCTATTTCAAAAGAATCTCCCCATTACAAGTCGCAAATTAATATCAATACACAACAAACACCAGTACCGATGTGTATAGGACGTGGTTGGCTTAAAAAACGTTTAAAACGTCCTGTTTCACTTGATCTTGATCTTGTTCAAACATTAACACAACATTCACCAATCAACAACTATGAAGAAACAGTAGAAGAATATCATCAACTACCATTAAATGACATCGGTACGATAATGGATCGCTTGCCTGCTTTTGTATATTTATCTCTTCATAGGAAATAGCAAAGAAAGAAATACAGATAAGACAGGGATATCGATCGCAAACCAGATAGTTGACATACCAATAAACCAATCGGGTAAATATTCTCTAAACAATAGATAACCTTGAAAATGTCACTATGTCTTTAGTTAAAAATAGGTTTAAAATGAAAAGTCTTTTTCTTATTCTATTTATAAAAAAAATATAAATCACAAACGAAACGAATTGTTCTCATAAGTACATATACCGTATATACACACATAAGAATCCAACCGTTTTTTGTGTATATACTTTTTCTTTTCTTTTCTTTTCCTTCCCCTTTCTTCTTCACTTTTTTCTTTTTGTTAAATTTGATCATATGCAAATTGATAATAGAAAATGATCTATGCGTCAATGCATTTCAAGTGATGCATGTTGTATATGTGAGTAAAGTGAACTTGAAAAATCAAGGCAGAGATAATCGAAAAGACGAAATCAAAAAGAAAAAGAAAAAGAAAATCAAATATAGACATAGTTTTATGTAATTATAGATAGAATAGAACATATGGTTATTTTCATAGTAATTTTTAATAGTTTTGTCCGTATAACTAGGACAAAAAATCTTAGTCTAATGATTGGGATTATATCGAATAAATCGTCGCGCGAGATACGTTTCACTGATTTCTTGACGAATGTTATAACACATTTGTTCCATAATATATATATATAAATAGATGAAATATTTAATGATTGTTTTTTGTTATTTGTTATTTAAAAAAAACATGTCGAAAAGAATATTCTCACGTACACAACATTGGAATATTTCTTCATCAACTAATAACCTTAATATTCTACCAAATTTAGCATTTCGAACTTGTTCATTCAAATATCAGAAAAGGCAATTAACATCGACATGTATAGTATTTATTCGTTACGGTATGTGTTAATGATGGGAGTATTCCTTGATTGAGATTCATCACCCTAATAATTAATGAAGTTGTCTCAAGGCAATCAGTAGACATATGCACAAAAATTTGTTTCATTTTATACAGATATAAGTAAAGAAAAACTTCGTTTTTTTCTTCTTCTTTCTGTACGAAGGTTTTGTACGTATAGAAAATAGTGTGAATGACAAAGAGTACTATCAAAAAAGATTTTATTTTCTAATTTTAATATATTAATAGACTCAAACATAAACTATATTGTGTTGTATGCGCCAATGTATATTTTGCCCTTTGTGTTCATTTGTGAATTGTTTTTATTTCATTTACGTTTGAATAACATACGCGTGGTAAAGATTATATAAGACTCTTGAGCATTATCACCCTAAAACAACGTCATTATGTGATAATATTACAGAGCTTTATTATATACCGGTGCAATGTTAGCATCATCACAAGAATAGTAAATACAGGAAACAAAAAAAAGGAGAAAAAGAGAGTGATGGTATTGCTCTTCTTCCTCTTACTAATGTATATGTACTATTCTTTATTTCTTTTTCTTCCCCTCTCTAATTTCTGCCTCTTTTTTTTCTCCTTCTATCCTTTACTGGTCCTTCCTCACATCATCAACATCAATTGCACTTACATATATTCTCGTTCTCTCTGCGCCTCTCTGCCTCTCTCTCTCTCTCTCCTTTCTCTTACGGTATATACGTACAAGTTTTTTTATGATGACGTCCCTGTATATACGCCGTCACTCTCCTACTACTCCTCTTCTTCATCACGCGGACTACGAACGAAGAGGAGAAGAAGGTGAAGATTGAGGATGATGATTACATTCATTGTCTAGCCTGATATAAAACTACACCATATAAATTGTGTGCTCAAACAAAGATACAATGGACTCACGATATCATTTTTCAGCAACGATGCCCAATCGTTATGAACAACTATCATACAATACTAATCCGAATAGTAATAATATGAACAATGAAAATCGCTCTAATTCAATGTCATCGCGTTATTTTCATCGAAATCCACCTGTTTTCCCTCCACATCATCAACATCGTATACGTACTCCGCCACCACTATTTTCCTCATCATATTTAGGCCCATTACAACAACATCGGCCACGCTTTCTTTCTGCATGGGATCTTACACCAACACCAAGTATTTATCTTTCGTCACGCAATATTGCTACGACTACACCCACACCAACATCAATACCAACACCAACATCATCAGTACCGAAACAATATGAGGAGGGTGCGTGTATCTTAAACAGTTGTGTCTTTTATTTCACTCGTTAATTAGGTGCACATACCAAAAATTGTGCAACAATTCTCGGATTTCTTCTTTCCCCCATCTTCTTCTTCTCAGTATGCGAATACGTATAGAAAACTTCTATATTGATTATTTACTAGAACACACACACTACAAAGAGTATCCACACATATATATGCGTATATACACACACATATGTGCAAGATAATCTTTAGCCTTCGTATAGGATTGAATTTCGTTATTAGATGAAATGAACTGATTGTACTTGAATATGTATAATATACTAGTGAATCTTCGGGCTTCACAATTTTTCGACATTCTTATATTGCTTCATCGATATGCAATATGTATTAAGTAAATGTCAGAGTATAAAAAGAGTGTCAGCCATCCTTGATAAATCTGACAACAAAAATGATTGTTCACATTATATTGTGACAAGGTTTATAAATATCAAAAAGAATAAAAAAAAGAGAGAGAATCATTTTTCTATTCGTTTTTTTCTATTGATGAATTTTGATATAAATTAGAATCAATAGTATTTTAAGATCTTGTTTGCTTTTAAACATAGATATAAAAAAGAAGAATTTTGACCATCAAACCAAAACATCCTTCTTCTTTTCACCGATTACTTAAACATTCATATACATATCATCGCTTGTTGTATTATTTCTATTGTCTTGACACGAGAAACGACGCCAATAAAGACGTTGATCGATTCTCAAGCCGTAAAACCACATCTATATACAAAAAAAAAGTGTCTGATTGCTTTTTTTTTTCTTCTTCTTTTGACGGAGCAAACTAACGAGCAAACGCCTTTATTGCTCAGAAGGTCATTCGAATATATAAGCGAGCGAGCGAAGCAAATAACGTGTGTATATAGGTTGTCAAGCATACCATTTTTCTTTTCGATTTCTTTTTCTCTCTCTTTTTGTTTCATCGTTCAACTAAGGCAATGTATGATTATATTTAATTGAAACTAGATTTGATCCATAATTTATAATCAAATGAATATTTACAAAAATCGGCTTTCTTTCTTTCTTTTTTGCCTCCGAAAGAAATTTATCCTTAATGAATATTTCTCTCAAAATAGTTCTTAATTATTATCATCAATTAGAAATGACAGAAACTAGTAATATCGAACAGAAATCAAAAATCTAATCTATTAAGTAATTACTATTTCTTTTCTACTTGATTACTAGTTATGTTTTATCATATGTCAAATATGTTGTTAACTGATTTTGATAAACAATTGTTTTAAGATGATAAAATCATTTTTAACTATTTTTAATGAATAAGATCATTTAATGGATAAAAATCAATACGTACATAAATGAAAAGTTAACGATCATCATTAGACAACAAAAGAATGTTGTTTGTTTTTTCATCTACTAATGAAATCTCTTAATAGAAATGATTGATGAAATACAAAGAACGAGATTTTGTGTATGATAAATCATAGTTACTAATTGTCATAGAAACAAAGAATTTGTTTCAATACGCTTTCTTTGTGTTATAAAGAAGAAAAAAGATTATATTTCAGTTATAAAAATCGAACATTATACGATCGTAACTTTCTATTGACAAATTTATACTATCAAAGTAGCTTTTCATAGTTCTGTTGTTAAAGTAACAGTGGTCGATGGACAATGAAGTTTTATTTTTATTCTAAATAAAGATAGACATGTAACGACCATTAATAGGATTAGAGAATCGACATAGACGTACGTGTATATATATGGAGAGCGAGAGATTTTGTTGACATTTACTGATTAATCGAGTATGCTAATGAATTGACTTGCCATACATATCCTATCAACTAAATACAGACATACAACGTTAGCAAAAAAAAAGATCAGTAGGTATCAGCTGCTGTCCTAATGTAATTTATTAGAGAATAGAATAAGAAGAAAACTGCGGTTTATGTTTTTTTTAAATGTTTTTCTGCCGTTTTTATTCAAGAGGCCAAGAAAATTTGCATAACGATTTAATATGAATAACAACACTTGTTAGGATTTGCTATGACATTCGAAGCGAATTGAAAAAAAATATTTTATAAATATGAATAATTCATAAAAATTTGTTTTCTTTTCTCTACCTATTTAGACCGTACGCAACTTCAAGCAATGCCTACCAAAGATTTTGCTGATTTAGTTATGTTACCACGCGAATGGCGTCGTGGTGATGATTGTATTCAATGGCCACGAAATCATGATTATTATAATATTGAATGGCTTGAAAATCTTTGGAAATATATTAATGAAAAACTTCCTACTGATTTATCAATGCTTGAAAATACCAATATACTTTATTTACAACCTTTATCACGTCCATTAGGTGCTTCAACAGCTAATAATAGTATATCTTTATATAAATTATCAAAAAATATCGGTCTGATACAATTACCAATTGTGCCAAGTAAAGATGATTTAGCTATACAAAAAGTTTTATTGAAATTAAATTTTTATTGTATTGAACCATTTCCTGAAATCATTCGTCGACATAAATCTATTGATGAATATGTACCACAATTATCATGTTTAGGTTTATTACAAATATTTAAATGTCGTTTAAGACATTTTACACAATTAAAAATTCAACATGAATTTAATACATTATTAAATGAACATGATATGAAATTATTAAGACAATATTTATCAAGAATAATGACACAACAATTAGATGATGCAAATATTCAATGTATTAAACAATTACCTATATTTGATAATGCATATTTAGGCGTTGATTCAAATCAACAACAATATAAATATATAAGTTTAAATAATATTTTATATATTTATGAATCTGGAACGAAATTACCTTGTGATTTACAACCACCTAAACAATGTATACATGTTACAGATAGTGATTCAAGAATATTATTAGATAAATTAGGTTATGTTATTCATGATTTCACTCATGTTGCAAGATATCTTATAACAACAATTGGACAACAACAACAATTAAATATCCAACAGCAACAACAACAACAACCAAATGCATCTACAATCAATACAACATTTAAGAATGATCAACAAAAAATGGCATTTTTAGGTAAATAAATATAACAATCGAACAAAGAAAAAGACCTTGAGCTAAATCATAATCATTTGCTTATTGAGATATTATTAATTATGTCTATTGTATACAATTGTTTCTTTCGAAAATAGTCTATTATCGGATATATCTTTATATAGAAGTCTATCAATCATTTATTAGAAAATGAAAGTATTGGTTAAATTTTCTTGTCTTCCGAATAAGAAAAAACATTTAGGAGTTCTTATTTTATAACAGAAAAAACTTTGAACAACTTGATTAAGTTTGAATATAGACTAGACTGACACAATTATGTTGAACAAGGTGACAATTCATAAAGTCTATGCATGAGTAATTTTTTTTCTCTCAAGGATAATAGTCTGCCCTTCTTCTGTCCAATTCACCTTAACTTATTTTTGTACTAAAATGTACTTGAAAATTTAATTTTTTTTGCTTTAAGGTAAATGGCTTTTATCGAATTGTGCAAATTTAATTTTAACAGATGTTGTTTGTCAAGATACATTATCAACAAGTCGATTATTTTCGAATCGTAAAGGTGAACTTTGTTCATGTCAACAAATGTTTGATCCAGCATCATTTCATATAAATAATAAAGAAAAATTTTTAATTTTATTTGAATCAAAATATTTACCATCAATTGATATATGTTCAACAAATGAACATCTTACATTACTTAAACATCTTAAATTAAAACAATTTTATGATATTAAATGTGATGAATTAATTGATATATGTGAATTAACAATAAAAGAATCAGCAACAAATGGTAAACGTTCATTAATGTTTTTACTAGCTGATTTTATAATTGATATATTAAATCAAAATGCAAAATTAATTGATGATTATTCTCAAACAAAACGAATAAGTCTTAAACAATATTTAAATATAACACAATGGATACCCGTTATGCTTGAAAGACCAACTACATACCCATCAACATTAACATGGCAAGGTAAATCACTTAGCTTCTTCTATTTATTGTATTTTGAAAACAAAATAACAATCTTTGTCTAATGGAAGAATTAAACTTTTATAGTTTAAATCAACAAAAACAAAGTGCAATTTAATACTTGAGTTATTGATAATCATTTCTTTGATTTCGTTGAAAGTAGTCACTCATTTACAGTAAATAAAAAAGGGGCGACATACAATGGCTTCTTAGCATTACTACATATTCGATTTAGTCGTTGTGATTCTCTCTTTTATATCGTTACGATTTGATAAAACGCAGAACTATTGATATTTCATTCGTTAGATCAGTGGCGGATTTAGGGGGGGCGATCGCCCTCCCTTCAAAAATAGGTTCAGATAGTGGCGGCGCCAAGGGTGGGCTGGGGTAGGCTCAGCGCACCCTGAAATGTTTTTTAGATCTAAAAAAACCAATGATACTCTATCTGAGCCCACCCTATTTGAAATTTACTAGGCCTGAGCCCACCCTAGTCAAGAATCCTCACACCGCCGCTAGGTTCAGACTACTTTGATTGGACTTAAAAAGAGGTTTTAGCTAAAATCCTAGATCCGCCACTGCGTTCGATTGAAAAAAATCTACACATTAGAAAAACTTTAGTTCAACTATTATAAATCACATTCAGTCTTATATTTTATGTGAATAAATTTTACTAATGAAGGAATTTTATCGAGTAATTGTTTTTTTTTGTATGATATATAACATCATCATCACGTTTTAATTTCTATGGACACACTTTCAAAGTGCTCATTTAAAGCAATTACCTTGAATCATATAGAAAAATTTTACCTTTTCTTTCGAATATCATAAAGACATTATTCAGCATTTTGTTTTATTAATTGCTTCAATTTTTGTAAAATTATTCTGACCTTTAATCGTCATTTGACAGAAATTATTTTTAAATTATCTTTCTAAAAAAAAAATATTCAAGGAAACCTATATCATGTTATTGTAGAACTAAAAAAAAGGACGAATTTTTTCTCTAATAGTTCAAGGTAGAATGATATCGTTTTTTCTTCTTCTTCTCGAGATGTTCAGTTGAGAAATAAATTCGTGACATTGAGTTGTTCAACTAATTTCTACCTGTTGATATAGAATTATGAGTTTGAATCGAATTTCTTAATACTTATATTTTATAATTTTAGGTTCTATTGATTCACGTCGTCCTTTTGTCACACCACGTGAAGTGTGTGATAAATCCAATGCATTTCTTGTTGGTGCAACCGCACTTGTTTCATCTCTAGATTTACCTGAATCATTTCTTTCTTCTTCACGTTCTTTAACAATTTCTTCATCATCCAATCGTTTATTACTTGATATGCGTGAAATCAAACTTGATTTATTAATCAAACAACTAAAATGTATTGTTCTCTGTTACTTAAAATGTTCATCACACGAACAAAAAAGTGAAACATTTGATTATTTAAATTTATGTAAACGTATCTATGATGCATTATCACATATAAATAATCCAAGTGATATATTAAAAGAAATGCGTATATGTGATTTAATTGATTGGATATGGAATGGTACAAATGGTTTTTCATCATCAAATCAAATATATTTAATTGATAAAACACATCCATTAGCATCCTATGTACAAATTCTTCCATATGAATTATATAATTATCGAAAATTTTTTGAATCAATGGGTGTTAAATATCAACCGGATTCAGCTAAAATCGAAGATATAATACGTAATCAACAAATTTATGATGAAAATTTATTTAAATGGATTAAAGATACATATACAACCGATCGACGTTTATTACAAATTGTTAATGATATGGAAGTTAAAACAACAAAACAAGTCCCACCAACAAAAAATATTTTAGACGAACAAACAAGAATAACATTTTCAAGTACATTAGATTTGTCTGAAGAAAAAATCTATCTTTATCTTCCAGGTAAAAAATTTCTAAACTAAATATTTTTGTTCTATTTTATATTTATAGATATATTTAATAAACAAAATAATGTGAAAGAAACTGTTGTTCAAGCATTAACAACAATATCAAAAGAAAAAAAATGTCAGTTATTAACTGAAGAAGATTATTTTATACGTAAAATGTCTGGTGTTGAATATCAAAAAAATCTTTATGATCATTATCGGGCATATAATGATTTACTTTTACCTAATTTAAATGTTTTACCTAAAAATGTGAAAGATACATTAGTATTATTTGCATTAGATCATGCCGATGCATTAATGTTGAATATATTAAAACAACATTGTTGTATACCATGTACACCAAATGGAAGAATATTAAATAAACCATCAAAATTAATACATCCATATTGTCGTTTAGCATCTCTCTATTCAGATATTGATTCATTATTTCCATATGGTGGACAAGATTCATATTTACGAGAAGATCGATTAAATGTTTTAAAATTACTTGGTAAGAATTTATTAGAAAAAACAAAATTTTTCCTTGAGAATAGAGAAGTCGTTTGACATTGTTATTGTTGATATGTATATATATATTCAATTAACAGATGTTGTCATATTTTTTTCTAAAGAATAATCCTTGAGGTTTTGTTTTAATTAATACCTATCGGTTAAATTCAGCAAAACATCTGACTATAATCTATGATTTGACATATTTATAACCTATGGTTTTGCATGATAAATAATCATTATATATAGTTCATGGTAGAATATGATTTGATTTAATGACACAACTATTATCGTTGATAAATTATTTTCAGAGATTAATATAAAAATACTGTCACTATATGCGTAGAATGTTGTCATATAAATCTTTTGAATAGTTACTATTATCATTGTTCAATAATACATTAGAGAATTAACTGAAGACATATGACTGAACAATGAAATTTATAATGTAAATATCATATTTTTCAATACAGTGGGGGTGATGGGAGCGGTCACCTTTCCCTCCCTTCAAAGATTTTTTACAGCAAAATGAAATATCTTCAACTGACAGATATAGTTTATATATGAAAATAATCTATTATTTATTCTAGGCATGAAATGTGATGATAATCTTGTAACATGGCCTGAACTTGTTGAACGTTGTGAATCTATTCAACGTATGCGTGATTATGATTTAGCACATGAACGTTCATTAGCACTTCTTCAAATTCTTAATGATATGTTATCAATATCATCTTCAAATACAACACGAACATTTGATGAAAATGATGATTCAACAGATCGTCGTTCACGTCAATCAACATCAATATCACGTGATAAACCACCAAATACTCAATCATCAATTACTAATACACATGAAGCACTTCAGGATAAAGAAGCACGTACACGTGCATCAGTACAATTACGTGAATTACCATTCATACCAATAAAACCACGACCAAATGAATTAAATGGTATTAGTTTAACTTGGATGGGTGATAAATATATCGGAAGATTATTTAAACCAAAAGATATTTTATCTCAACAATATGAACAATTAGTTTGTTGTTCATGGCCAATAGCACAACAATCAAAAAATGCTCAAGAACAACCAACTATAACAAAACAAGTTGAACATTTTCTTGGACTTGATGATACAACGAAAATTGAATTACGTGATGTACTTAAACAACTTGATGAACTTGCTAAATTAACTGTTATCAATGGTCCAAGTTCAACTATATATAATCATCAAATAACATCAAAATATATTCTTGGTAAGATCTTTATTAACATTAGAAGAAAAAAAAGAATAGTATTAGCAAATAGTCGAAATACGATATGAGTGAGATTTGCTTTCGAATAAAATCATGACATTTCTTTCTGCTAAGGGAAATATTCTCACGGATTTCAAGCATTGACTTTATTCCAATAAGACTATCTGTTGTATCAAATTTCTTATTTGTAATACAGCTTTCCTATATAACTTAAAATAGAGAATTCCAGTGTGTAATTTCGTCATTAGTGAATTTATCACGATTCTCAGATGACTAATGGATCTAATTATTTATAAAATTTCTGGTAAAAAACATTTTATTTCGAGCGTTTTGAACATGTCTAAATCTGACCAAAAAGTTCATTACAATCGTGATAATTCTTTCCTAATATGGCATTTGTTAAACTGAAAATAATTTTAGCCCAAAACTAAGAAAAAGAAAACTCGTTTAAATACATTAATTAGTATATATATCGAAAAGAACATGTTTGTTGAAAACATAAAGTTTCAAGTATAAAACGTTAAAATGAACAAGATTCTACATGAGTTTAATTGAAACGTATATACTTGTATAACCGAATATGATTTTTCTTTCTAGACATGAGCTATTCAATATATGATTATATTCAATCATTCTGTTTTCCTCATATAAAAACCAGTGAAAATTTATTTGAATATCGTTCATCATCGATGACATCGGCTCAATTAGAACAATGTATACGTGATATACGTGAATTTTTCTCACAACGTCGTCTTATTTATATGAATGATTCATCATCAACCGATACCTATTTATTTCTATCATTATCACAATTATTATGGCAAGCACCCACACGTACATCAATATCAAATAATTTAAAACCATATTATTATCCAATATCATTATCATTACATAAACAATATAAGAATTTTTTTCTTGATTTATTACAAGTTAAAATGCAAATTGATGGTAAAGATCTTTTAAATATAATTGAACAAATTAAAAAAAAATATGGTACAAAACCAATAGATAAAGATGATTTAACATTATTACAAAATATTTATACATTATTAATTGAACAATATTCAAATATTTTTAATACAAATACAATATTACATTTACCCAATGTTGATTGTGTTCTTCATCCTGGTTCAACATTATTTTTTTATCCATTTGAAAGAGAACAAATGTGTAAGTTTTCAATGTGATCGATTTAATTAGTCAATATACTTCCTTTTTTTTTCTTGCGCCCATGTATATATATATGTATATATGTACTACATATGATAGGCGAGTTAGGTCATCCATGACTTCACATATTCTCGATCCTTCCCATATATGATGTAAAATCATTGATCTATTCAATTAAATATAAGCATATACATACATACATCATCATTTCTATATGTACCTTTCACAAACACTTGACTAAATATACAATACATTTAAATAAATGCGACAGTAGTTTCCATTATTATTGATATAACCTTGTCGTCGTCAGCATCATTGTCGTCTTTCTTTTGTTGTATTTCAAAGAACGACGTACAGTACGTTTCTCTCTCTCTCTTCTGTCACTCATCTTATCGCGCTTCCATCTATTGACACAATTGTTGGTTGTTGTGGTTGCATTTCTAACCGTACAGACTGTAAAAGCATTATTATTACAAGCGTCGATACGATCGATAGTCGTAGAATGTCGACGACACCATTAAAACGCAGTAACCATACAATCGTCTTCAAATTTCCATCGACAGTTAATTGTAAATAAACTAAAAAAACATGATATATTATTTTTATTGAGTATACATACATATATATATCTACTATATGTCAATAAATATTTTAGTGTCAAATCCATCATCATCATCATCACAAGATGAACATTATGTACATCCATCTGTTGATCGACGTGTTTGTCTTAAAGCTGGTGTTAAAGTACGTAAATTACCCACTGTAACAGCAACAGCAACAGTATCATCAACTCCACCCATACCATTAATTGAATCACCAACTGTTTCAACAAATCTTCCAAGCAATTCAACATCACGTTTATTTCCAAAAATATTTGGTAATAAAAAATTAGAATCAATCTTAGCACGTCTTGATGATCCACATATAAATCCACAATTAGTTGAAAATATGGATGAATTAAATCCAAATATTGTCTTAGAATTTTTACTTGAATCAAATAAACATACTCAAATAACAAACAATCTATCCGATGATGATATTGTAATTATATTAAAATATTTTAATGATTTTCTTATACATGGTTATCAAGGTAATTTTCAAAAATTGCGTGAATTAAAAATTTATAAACCACTCTGGGGAATTTTATCTAATGATGATAAACAACAACAACAAATACCTATACAACAATGTTGTTCATTAGAAAATTTTTCACATGTTTATATCTTAAATGAAGAATGGTCAAATATTATACGTCGTTCATTTAAACGAAATTTTTTTAGTGAACAATTTCATGAGAAGAAAACCGTATTTTTAATGCAAAAAAAAATTGAACCATTAAATAAAATCTTTTGTCATATACGTTTTAATATTTTAAGTGATTTGGAAATCTTTTTACAATTATGTTTACCATATTTTCGAAAATTAGATGTTAAATCACAAGCAAATCTATTAAAATATTTTATTGAAGAAATCGAAGAAAAATTATTTCCACATGATAAAGAACAATGTAAAAAACAATTACATGATCTTTTAGAAATATTTACACAAACATCAAATAATCAAAATGATTGTTTACAAAAAACACCAGCAGGAATTGCGAGATCATCGGTAAAAGAAAAACAACAATTTGAAATTTTCATCAATTAGTTTTGTTTTTGTTTATTTAGCGTGATCCACCTGAAATTTGTCCAATACATGAATTATATGATCCAAATATAAAAAATATTCGATCGATTCTAGGTGTTCATCATTTCCCTGATGAACAATTTCATACACCAACATTATTAAAATTTCTTAAAGAATGTGGCCTTCGATCGTATATATCAACAGATAAATGTAAACAAATTATGGAATCAATACAACTTAATGTTAAACAAGAAGGTTGGACAAATGAACAACGTAAACGTTCAAAATATTTATATGAACATTTATTAACAAATTGGACACGTTATGATAATTCAATATTAGATTATAAATTTCTTGAACCCTATCAAATGCGTTCAGATAATGATGATTTATTACAATTACATGAACAATATACCAATAGTTCAGATACAAATTCAACAGATTATTTTCGTTTTACATGTATTAAATTAAGTGATGGAGAATTAATGAAAGATGCAAAATTATGTTGGACATCATCCTATTTATTACCGGAATTTATACGTCTTGAACATTATAATGATATCAATGATCAAAAAGAATCTATTGAACAAAATGCTTTAGAATTTTTTAAATTAAATAAAAAACCATCATATGCATTAGTACAAAAAAATCTATCGAATTTAGCAAAAAAATTTTCATTAAAAAATCAACAACAACTATTCAAGTTTGTTTAAATAATAATAATAATAATAATAACTATTTATTATTTTTTTTCTATTTTAGTGATTTTAAATCTCCTTCGGTAACAATAAGTCAACATATTGTTGATGATATATTAATACCAGTATTAAAATCGATTTATAATTATTTTCAATATGAAATTAAAATCGAACGTCGTGTTGAAATCTATAAAGAATTAGAAGATCGTGAATGTATTTATTCTCGTACACGTCGACAATTTTTACCAGCAAAATATTTCTGTTTAAATTTACCAATCACGGATGAAATACCACCATTTATATTCTCATTAGATACTGAATTTCATGAATATAAAGAATTTTTTCTACAAATTGGTACACAACCTGAACCACATCCAATGTTATATGGTGATATATTACGGAAATTATCAAAAGTTTGTGAACAAGATTATTTAAATTCAAATGAATTATGTAAATCATTGAAAGCTATGGAATGTTTCTTTAAATATTTAGCAACAAGTACAACAATTACTCCACAAACTAAATTACCTGGTAAGAATACATTAACTAGTCATAAGTGTTTTATCTCGGTTCCTTTTTTTGAGTGGGCGAAATGAAAATTCCGATTGAGAACCACCTATCAGTGTGTGGGTGGGTGTGGGTGTAGATATAGGTGTGCCTCTGCCTTAAATCCACACCCACACCTACCCGCCGCTGGTTCCGATCCCTATTCCGTCGGACCCTACCGCCCATCCGCTAGATAAAGCACTGGTCTTACATAGAATTTATGGGATTAAAAATCAATTTTTCTAACTTTAACAAATAATCTGATGTTTATCTCATTTATTCTTAGGTCTCTATCTTGTATCGAATGATTTTAAATTAATAAAATCTAATGATATTGTCATTATGGATGATAAAACCAAACTTGATTATATGACAAAATTAAATCAAGATAAATTTATGTTTAATCCTAATGAACGTGTACTTAAACTTGATCCTAATCCTCCATCTTCAAATTCGAAACCAAATAATACGGCAACAAATTTAAAAGATATTATTGATAAAATATTTGTTAGTCAACGTCCAGTATTATTTAGTCAGAAATATGAAGAATCATTTTCAATAACAATTCCAGAAGATGAAGAATCACATCGTCAACGATTTTTATTTAATCTTGAAAGAAAATATAATCAATTATTATCATCACGTCATTTACATCGTTGTATGGCACGTGTTATTGCTAATCATGTTGCACGACAACAAAATCCAAAGATAATATCTCTTGATGATGTTGAAAATTTAATTCGTCAACGTTTAACATTTGTTAAAGTCACATGTGTTGAATATCTTGAAACAAATTTAATTTATAAAAAAACTCAACAAAAAATTGATACATCAGTTGATGAAAAAGCTGTTTATCTTGTTGTTGAAGGAGAAGAAAATGTTATTTTATATATTAGCATGAAACATACAGAACAACCATATTTTACATTATGTTTAGCACGTGCATTAAGTCCATGTTTAGGTTTATCAGAATTACAATTAGATAATTCTGTTATGGCTGCTCTTTTAGCAACAACTATTGGACAAATGGCTAAATTATTAAATTTAGTTAATGTTGCAACAGAAGAAAATATTTTATCTATACTTAAATTACAATATATACCATCACCAGGTAATGTTTATGGTGATGATATTGAACAATTACAACAATTTAATATTGAACAACATCAAATTTTACCAGGAGATTTATGTGTTTATCGTGTGAATGATTTATATATATATTGTGAAGTTGAAAAAATTATTAAAGAATCATTAAATGACAATGATAATAATAATACGAAAGATGAATGGTCATATAAAAAATCTGATTCATCATTATCATATGTATTTATATGTAAAATAAATGATGCTAATGAAACACAAAAAATCGATGCACCAAATTTTTATGTACTTGAACATTGGTCAAGAATATTCGATGCTGTACATACGAAACCAGTTGACGAAAGAGAATCATTTAAATCATCATCAACAACTACTCAGGGTAAGAAAATTTAAGACAAAAAAAACTAAATTAATGAAATCAGAGACCGAATGATTATTTTGTATATGAGTGAATGGCAACTACTTTGAGTATGATGTAGATTTGATAAGTAAGCGTCAATTGCTATTTTTACATGATTGGTTCGATGTGTACATTGATTACACATCATAGATCGGGAATGTAGATGACCTATTTTGTATGAAAGTACATTTATAATATTTCTTCAATTTAATACGATGTAGAATCTAAACAAAAAAAAATCATTGTAGAGGAAAACGACATGACATATTAAATGAAAGATTATATAAGCAAGTATGTCACGCTCCACAAAAAATGATAGATATGTTACCCTTCTCATGACTCTGTTAAACTCAGCGGTAGTACGGAAATATTAAAATGATAAATTTGCCATTCACTCATATACCTATATGTATACATATTGCTCTAACATCTCTATCCTTTTGCTTGTCAAAGCTGCTTCTTACATGTGTGATCATCAAAAAATGTGATTCAATTGATAAATTAACATGCTTTGCACAATATCCTATTTCTATCAATGAATAGAATAGTTTCACATACACACATTGTTGAAATGAACGCATTGTATATTCCCATCATCTAAAATGAAAAATCTTTCTGATACTACATTCGGTCTCTTTCTATAACCTAAATTTAACTATTGAATCACTGTGCGTGTGTCGTCTATAGGCAAAAATGGTGATAAAGATAAATTCAACGATGAAAAAACTTCTTCCTCTTCGAAACGTTCAGGAAAATCGAATAATACTGGTGATACTACAAATGATACGAATAAATCTACGAATGGTTCAGATAATTTTAAACCTTACGGTCAAACATCAGCTGATAGTGATTCATCGGGTACTGCAACATCCGAATCTCAATCCGAATCCGAATCAACTCAAGCCAACGAACAAGATATGATTGATAAAACTGAACTTGAATTAACTAAAACAGAAATCTATAATGCTGTTCGACAAGCATATCAATTAACTGGACAAGATCGTAAAAAAACAGTTAAAAAATTATTATTAAAATGGCATCCAGATAAAAATCCCGGTCGTGAACGTTTTGCTGCTGAAGTATTTAAACATTTACGTAAACAAATTGATCATTTCGAAAATGATCCATTAACATCATTTTTTAATACATTCAATAATTTTCATCATACACCATTTTCAACATCGGATCCAAGATTTAGTTGGAATAAATATTCCAATACAACAAAAAGTGATCCGCATCAAAGTTCATCATCAACAGCAACAGGTGATGAACGTTTTGGTAGTTTTGATAATTTAAATAAAGATACAAATGATGATACAAAACGTAGTTATCAAGATATACCTAAAGATCCTACCGATACGACGAATGAAACAAATGGAAATACAAATAAAAGTCGTTTTAGTCCACATCGTTCATCATCATTTCGTACAGCTCGTGAAGAATGGCAATATCGTCGTCAACATGGTTTTCAACGACGTCATGGATTTTTTAGTCCAACAGAAGAAAATACAACCAATGGTACAAGTACGACAACGAATGGAACAAATACTCAAACATCATCATCAACTGGAGGAAGTAAGTTTATTACTTTTCATTTATTTATTTTTGCATGTAGTCCACACACGCACAGAACGATAATTTTTATTTGTTTTTTTTTCTTTTCTTTCGTTCATATTAGTTTCTGATCCTATTTTTGGTGAGTGCTCTTTGCTTTGTTTTTTTTGGGTACATTTGTGGGACTATTCATTGTAGAATGCTTTTAATGATTTGATAATAATCATTGATAGAAATTTTAAATTAAAAATATATTTTACGATAACGCGTTTTTTTTTTCGTTTATTTTTATAGAAGAAAGTCCAAATGCACGTCGTAAACGTAATTATCAACAATCAGAAGCTGATCGATGGCTTAAACAAGCTCAACATGATTTAGAAAGTTCATATAGTGATATGCATTCATCTACTGGTCAAGTTGCATATGACTGGGCTTGCTATAAATGTTATCGAGTAAGTTGATGCTAAATGAAAGAAAAAAGAATGAGTGATAGTATGCATAAAGTCAAAGGGTATGATAATAACAATCGAGAATTTGTATATATGAAAGAATAGAAGATATTATAATAATCAAATAAATCAATTTTCATTTTAGGCGGCTGAAAAAGCCTTAAAAGCTTATCATTATTATAAAGATACAGGCAAAAATATGACAGCTGATATTCCTGGTCTATTAATTGGTGTTGATAATGATGTACGTGAAATAGGTTATAAATTATACAAATGGATCGGTGATCCAAATCGAATGCAATATCCAAATGCAGCACGATTTGCTAAAATTCCAGCTGAAGTATTCACTGTTTGTAAGTTTAATTTTATTCTTAAGAAATTTTCGAAAAATAAACATCTTTTTCTTCTATTAGCACAAGCTGAACAAGCTATTGAATATACAAAAGAATTATTGAAGAAAATCGAAGATATTATGTATCCGTGAATATTGCTCGATCTTCCGTTTGTTTTTCTTCCTCATCTCTAGTCAAAACATACTTTTTTTTCTCTTTTCCTTTTTTTTACAGTATATGCTTGCATTCATTTTGTTGTGACGTGTTTTTTTTTCTCTTCATCTTCTTCTTCTTCAGTTTCTTCTGCTTCTTCTTTTCATTTTTTTTTGTTTGCTATTCAACACACAAATTACAAAGAGATGGTTTAATCATCTCTGTCTATCTATCTATCTATCTATCTCATATCTCAATTTGAGCCTTTTTGTTCTCTTCATTATTTGTTATACATTATTTTTTTTTATGCATATATATATATATCTAAGCTTAGAATTAGCAACATGTTTGTGTGTGTTTTACAAACAAGAAAAATTCTAAAAGAGATGAGGGGGAAATAATGTACAGAAGTTTTATGCTTTGTTCGTTTTTTTTTCTTGTCATTCTATTACTTTATTATTACTTTCTAGTTAACGTTTACTAGTGATATAAAAACGATTTCATCAATTCTGGAGATGAGCTGAGAGAGGATTGATTTTTTTTTCTTCTTCTTTTTTTTCTCATTTTTTTTTGTTCGCAAATGTGTTCGTGGTGATGAAGATAAAGTTGGAAATAAAAGATAGGAAATCATTAAAATATGATTTAAATCTAAAGATTTTAGTTACGTATACAAGATAATGAATATTTGCTCTTGATAGATATCTATCTAAGATTCATTTGTAAGTTATTTAGTAAAGTAAAGTAAAAAAAAGAAAAAAAAACGAGAGATATGGTATCAACTAACAATCCTTGGCATTTACTTCGTGAACAATTAATGCAAATAGAAGATATTATGGGTCCATCAGCACCCTATGAAAAATCTATGAGAAATATTCTCAATGATAATCAATGGATTGAATTCGATATTGATATATTAATATCTGAAAAGGTTAATAATAAATCAGGTTCAATTATTTCGGTTAATAAATTTAATCAATCAATTGTAATAACAAATATTTTAAATAATGATGAATCACTTCATCTATTTGATATTATTCTTTCATTCAATGAAATGAATTTTAATGATATGCCAAAAGATACAGCACAATGTATTATTAATGCACATCAAGGTAAAATTGTTAAACTACGTATTCGTCGTTTACTACCATTGATGATTGAAAAAATTGAATTGAATTTATATAAAAATAATCGAAGAAATTCACATGAACTTGGTTTTACAATTGATGGTGGACTTGGAAAAAATAAAGAACATGATTCAGGTTTATTTATTATTGGTATCAAACCAAGAGGTCGTGCAGCAACGAATGGTTGTTTACGAATTGGTGATCGTTTATTACAAATAAGCAATACATATATTACTATTAATTTACAATGTATTCATTTAGATGATGCATTAAAATTAATTAAACGTATGAGAAAAGAATCAACATCAATTACACTTGTAATTGCTCATCCAACATAAGCATTAAAAATTTTAACGAAAAGAAAAATTCTTGATTTTGTTTTGTTCATCTTGATTAATAAATAGAATTGTTAGATTATAGAAAAAGTTATTACTAATGAAAAATAACGATCACGTGTAAGAAGAAAAAAAAAGAAGAACGAAAGAATCTGTATATGATTTATAGCTATATAAAGTTATTTGTTGATGAATCATCATCGTTTAGATAAATCCGATAAGCTTCAAATAAATATTTATTAATATACAAAATTCTTTCTTTTCTCTCTTTCATGTTGAATCTTTTCTTATATTAATATATAATCGAACGATATGAAACAACAGATAGGGACTTATTTTCATATTCTTGATCGTAATAATCTTTCGGATGGTACACATATATTACATATTAAAGAATTACCACCACCTTATTCATCATTAGAAACACAACAATCGATTGTCGATGATTGGAAAGAGAAATTTATTGAAATTCAACCATTATATGGTCATTTAAATAAATATGGTTTTGTTATTAGTGGTGGTAGTGATACTGAAAATGGTTCAGCAATTGTTATAACACATATTGATTATTGTTCGGATTTATCATTAGATAATGGACGAACTCATCTTCAACTTTTTGATCGTATACTTTCAATTAATAATACTGATTTAACTCGAGTAACTCATGATGATGCTGTTCAAACATTTTCTTTATTTCAAGGTCAACCTATTGTATTACATATTCGTCGTTTAAATCCTGTAAATATCGAACATATTGATATAATATTACCATTTGATATTTCAAATCAATCTCTTGGCATTACAATTACAGGAGGAATTGATAATAATATTGAAGATCCTGGTTTATTTATTACTCAAATTGATCCTAATGGTTTATTAGCATCGATAACAAAGAATAAACAACTTCAAATTGGTGATCGTCTTTTAGAAATTAAAACGAATTATACAAGCGCTAATTTACAATGGGTAACACATTCAATGGGTGTGCAATTAATTCGACGTATATGTCAAGATAATAAACGTGTTACACTTGTTGTAGCTCATCGAACTACGAATTTTTAAAACATTTACTTTTTTTGTTATATATGTATTTCAATAATTATATCTAAGAAGACTACAGAGTCAGCTTTTTCATTGTGAACATGTATGTCTTTTAAATATATGATTATAAACCACAATGATTTCCATAGCATAATTTCAAGATATTTATGTCTTTATATTTCAAAGAAAAAAGAGAAAATATCATAAATGACAAACCTCAAAGGGTGAAAACACGATAGTCGATATTCTGATCCATTTGACTGAATCAATCCTGTTTGAATTGAAGAAACTAATATTATTGGGAGATTATATTAACCCTGCACAACGCATATCTAGAAGTGTAAAAATGGAGTCATAAGTGCTCTGGGGTTCGTTAGGATCCCAAGTGGTAGCATGAGGGTTAAAATTCAAGTGGCACATTCATTCGTTCATTTAATGAAGATCATTCGATGGATGCACATCGATTTCTAGAGCATTATGAATTAAGTTCTAAGTCAATTATGAGTAACTATTTGTTAATAATGGATTTCAATTAACTCTAAAATGACATAATATTATAAGAAACTTTAGGAAAAATATTGTTTTTGAGAATTTCGTTTAATAGCGCAATGGTTGTTAACCAGTTCGATATATTATTTTGTTTTATTTTATTTCAATAATATCCACGACAAAACAAAAAATCAAGTACAAAAGATTATGTATTTTTTTTGTTTAACAAATTTTTAATAAATGTTTCATGTTGAAGATGATTTACATAAATCGTAAAAAATCGATGCTTCCATTTTTTTGAGAAAAAAATCAGGTTGATTTTCAGCGTAACGCATAAGGAAGAACAGAGGAACTTTGACTATGATTGCCTGGATCTGAAATGATTTATATTCGCCGAAAGGGTTATCGTCGAATTCCACACAATAATTAGCAAAAATGTAAAGAAGAAAATATGGAATTGTTGAAGCCTCGATTAACCACTTGTGAAAATTCGTTGATGTTATATATTCATCGTTATTCATCAATTCGAACCATTTATAAAAAAAAGCAAATAAGGTATAAACGAATGTTAATATTATTTCTTCGTTCAATAAAATAATTCCAAGTGCATCTCTTTCCTCTTGTTCATATAATCGCAATTGAATAGTTTCACCGATAAGACGATAATAATTGCAAAAACGGGGAGACAACAAAAGCAACATTAAACAAATAAATAATAAACAAGAATAGATGCAGAAGAAAATAAATTCAACGAACAATACAACTACTAAATGAATAATATATGAGTAATGTTGTATGTAAATAATACATGAAAGTTGTTGATCTTCGATTGACGATAATAGAAAGGTTTTGTTTGTTAACAGCATTGATCAAATTTATTAACAGAATAATTCGATTTATATAAGGTATAGAAGATGCGCAATCCCTTCTTTTTTAATCTTCAATGTCGTCTGACAGAATATATCGTTTTATATATGATAAACATGTTTATCGTCCGTCAGTTATGTTCAATGTTGTTTTCTCTCCGTCTATCAGATAATAGCCTGGAAGCAGTCATCATATAGGAAATAATAAGTCAATATATTCGTTCAATAGTTTTGATAATACAACAGAACGAAGATGTCTCTAAAAATGATATCAGTTTGTTTTTCCTTCACTTCTCAAAAACGTTGTTGGATCTTTTTCTACTTCTTATTTCAATGAAAACTCATCGAAAGTCACCTTCTCTACTAACATATGTATTAGACTTAATCAAGATTAAATTATATACTTATTAGAATATCTTCAAATAAATTTATTTCAATGAAAATATCAAGTGTACAAATTCTCGAATTAGGTACTAAAATAAGAATAGATCAAATTTGACTCGGTAAAAGTCCTTCATAAGCTTTATATGTTGCAATAGCGAGTCCAGTAAATATCAAAAACGTACTAATGTATTGTAATATTATAAGATATCCACAATAATAAAGAAGTTGACAAATTTCTATATCATCACTTAATCGATTAAACATTTATAATTGTATACCCATGTTAACCATTCCGGCTGTCGGAAACGGCCTGAAACGACTACAAAACCGGCGTTTTACTGTCTTATTTTTAGTCCTATTTCACCGTAATCCGTCAACCCGGAATACGGGCCGTTTTCCGCCGTGTTTTACCGGTTAAGGCCGTTTACGGCGCTGTTGTCTTTGCCCTGGGAAATAAATAAAAAACATCCATCTGATCCTAGTATTAAAGAAATGTGAACGATTTAAAAGTTGATTGTATAATTCCTACAAATAAAAATATATTCAATTGCCTGCTATCTTGCATAAAAAATTTTCTACATACCATCATGAAGAAAATTATGGATAAAATGACTACATATGTATAATTCTCGTCATTTTATCGTTTGTTCGATTTGAAAAAAAGAGAGGCGACAAAAGAACGTTGTTTTGTTGACATCGAGAAAAGAAGGGTGTGGGCATCTATCTTCTCTTAACCCACACCGACCCACATAATTTTTGACGAGATTCTGTTGGTATTAGTTGAGGTGACTTGCTTGTTTGTTGTTGATGCTATTGTTTATAATTCTGCTTCATCAAGTATAATTTCTTTCGTTGACTCTAATTTATTGAAATATGTAGCTGCTGTTTCTGCCATTAATTCAGTTAAATCGAGTATACTTGATTTACTATACCTTAAAACACAAAAAAAACAATATACATATTTTTTTCTTTTCGCTTTTGCTATCTCTTTCTCTTCTCTCTTTTCTTTTTATATATTAAATAAACAGTTTTTCTATAAATTTTTTTCTCTTCTCTCTTCTCTTCTTGTATACTAAAGATACAGTTTTTCTATGTCATTCTTCTTCATTCTTAGATATATCTAACAGTTAAAAGTCTATTACTACTCTTTAACATTAATGAAGGGTTAATTGACTAATTTTTTCCATGTAATAAATGTAAAAGAAAGTTTTTTATTTTAAAATAGGTTTTACGCCTTCTTTCGTTTTTTAAACGGAAGTCTATTGAAATTTCGTTGTAACAATAGTTTTCATCACTAGTTGAAACCAAATATGCAATCTATATAAACCTGAACGGCCGACGATCAGGTTGAACAAATTGCATGGCACTAAGGAATGGGATGCCCTATTCACGTATGTTGAACCACAAGTAGCAACAATCCCATTAACAACAGCTAAAACCATAGCATGTGAATCAACTTGATAAAATGATGCTAGATGCTGTATACAGCTGACCAATTTTTCAGAAAACCATCTTGAGGGTGGGCGTGGGTATCGGTGTCAGTTACCCATCTATAGTCACACCCACGCCTACACCCACCCACCTACACCCACACCCACCCTACTTTCAACTACCTATTCGATGGTCGTTCTCTTTCTTGCTCAACACAGAGAAACTCTACCTTGTTCAAATACAATAATTATATATCGTGAAGGTCTTTTTTTTACAACATATGACTATTCATATGTGTTGTTTACCTTGCCGATGGGTGTTAACATCCATTTATCTTTGAACAAGATCAGAGTTTCTCTGTACGTACGCGCATTTAAAACAATTCCTTTCTTGTTTAAAAAGTTTATTTTTTCTCTTTCATAAAATAAAATTCATAGAAATACTATTTATTATTTGTTTTTTACACGTTCGAGGTTTTTTCTATATGATTGAAAATGAGGATGATTTGGAGGTAATGATTGTTGTGCAATTTGTACAGCATGTTCATAAAATGTACGAGCTTTAGAGTAATTATCCATGCTTATATACATCGAACCAATATTGTTGTAAGACTTAGCCAAATCAGGATGATTGGGAGGAAGTGATTGTTGTTTGATTTCAAGAGCTTTTTCATGAGATGAAAGTGCTTTCGGGTAATTACCCATATTGTCATGCACTAAACCAATGTTGTTGTAGGACATAGCCAAACTAGGATGATTGGAAGGAAGTGATTGTTGCCAAATTTCAAGGGCTTTTTCATGAGATGAAAGTGCTTTTGGATAATTACCCATGCTATCATGCACTAAACCAATATTGTTGTAGGACTTAGCCAACTCAGGATCATTAGGAGAAAGAGCTTTTTGTTTGATAACAAGTGACTTTTTATAGAATGTAAGTGCATCCTGATATTTTCCTTGAGCATCTTTAATACAACCAAGTCGATGGTAAATAAGTGCTCTATCTTTATCATCCTTTGTTTGATCAAGTAAAACTTGATAAATATCTTCAGCTTTGCCAGATTGACCCATTTTATATAGTACCGAACCCAATCTATACCATCCTTCTTCATCTGGAAAACTTTCTTGTCGAATATAATCAGTAAGTCTGCTTAGTTCTGGATCATTGTCAGCAGTTAATACTAAATTACCTTCATATAAGCGATTATTTCCACCCATCTGTTTAATATCCTGGATACGGAACACGCTATGCATCGAAAATAAGACTTCCTCTTCCTTTTGGAATTTACTAATACCGGCAATGGACGCAAATGGTGTTGTTAATTGAGCAGGATTAACTTTCATGATAAAAAGAACACCGACCTGATCTGGATTTCTTGCAGCATATTGAGCAAAACTTAGTGAAACTTTGCGAACCGTACTAGTCGATAAGAAATTGTTGAATGAAATAAGACCGCCTTTGGTTTTCATCATTTGTTCGAAATCATCTGTAGAAAAACCTTGGCCACGATAAACGGTGAAAGTGTTAGCAGCAGTTGTACCACCATATTGTTCCTTGTGTAGTTGTTCAATTTGTCGATGTAAATCACCAATGAAGAAACCCATATGTGTAATGATATCACCATCCATCAATCGTAATGCACGATTGAGCATGGGGTACAAGAACATTTGACAGCTATACCAATAAATTGGTGTTTTCTTGCGGTATTGGCTTTCTAATCGTTTAATATTGACCATTTCTTCTTCATTGTCGGCAAAAGCATCACGACAGTAATTAAGATAATCTTGAGTGTGCTTCTGGTTGAATGTGATGGTGAGTAATATTTCTTTAAGGATTTGAGTGTACATAAAAGAAGGATCTAATTGATCCAGCTTTTTATTTGTTCCCACAAAACTCATGGAAATGGCATTCTGCTCACATTGATGAGCAGCGTCCTTGAGCGCTTCACAGATAGGTGTAATATCTGTGAAGACACCCTTTATTTTGGGCCAATCTTTAGCCCATTGTTCATGATGTTTTTTATTACCACAAAAAATAAATATTGAATCCACTTGAGGCATACTGTGCATACGAGACACAATATTTTGTCCAAGTGATCCAGATATAATCATACACATCTTTTTGTCGACAACTGTTTGAATGAATTCAAGGCATTGATCGCTATCTATAAATGTATTAATATCATTCACAATACATCGCAGTTTTGTGATTGTATTTTGACAATCATCATTTGTATCGGCAATGTTACTATCTAACCAGATTAGAAGAACATTTTGCATTCGCTGAATATTGACACGTCGACGATGTTCTGCACCTTTTGGAACTGTCGATGCATTTGGTTTTGATTGTCCCTTGCCCATTGTTTGCTATGTAAATGATTTGAATTGAAATTACTGTGTAAAGTTTATTAGTGAAGTAATGATCAAAACCGATTCTTTCTTTAGGTGTCTACTTCCTTTCAAAATGTTTTTTCTCTCTATTTAGCTGTTTATGACGATGCTATGAAAAACAGCACATGGAGAACGAAAAAACAAGTGATAAAATATTGTCATGGTTGACTAACCATCGAAGTAGCTTACAAAAAATAAGTATTTTATTCACGTTGACGAAGAAAAAACGTGTTGAGTCATGTTTGTTATTGGAGAATCCCAGGTAACAAAAAGTATTTATAATGGTAACTATTGACCGAATTATTTAAGTTGATAACATAACTCGTCATCGCAAATTAGTAGACATGAAATTTGAAAAAAATATTTAAACCAGCTTTTATCATTTTTCTTGTTTTATTCTGTTGACTGAAAGCTTGTATGTAACCATTATGTAGATAACAAAGATAGACTTGGAAAAAAAGTGCATTTGTCATTAACAAACCTCAAAAAACAATAAAATCGACAGAAAAAGTCTTCATCATATCTCTATCTTCTTTAGATTTGGGCAGACTCTCTTGTGAATGTAGATGTGGGTGAGTGTCGGTTGATTTAAAAAAATACACCCACGCTCAGAAGCAGATCATACACCTCTGTTTCAAAAGTATAATATTGGTATATAAGATATTTTTACAAATTACTAGAAATACGCAACACATCAAAAAACAAAAACTTATGTAAACTGGTCAGAAATTTTATCGTATACATATGTCCGTTCGGATAGAGTAATTGTTCATAAAAACTCATGTCGTAGATATAAATTATGAACCTTGAAAATAATATTAAATTATCACTGTTATATTAGAAGTTCCATGATGGATCTTCATTTCTATGATAGGACTGTTGACTATCTCCATAAAACAAAATGTATGTGAGAGAAGTTAAGGAGACATCTCATTTTCTTTACTAATTTATTTTGATCAAAAGAATTCAATTGGGGTAGCGTTTATGAAACTATCCAGTTTCTTCTACGAAATCTTATCATTTATTAAAAAATTGAGGGTCATCAAATGCCTGATACTTATCAATCCGATAGATTATTTAATTGAAAAAATGTATGTAACTTATGTTCGAATTGATACTGACTCATTACGATTGCACAGCTTCAATGTATCCAAAGTATATAAAGAAGATCTTTCTAAGGAATGATAATAAAGAATCTTTTTTGCTTAAAAGCCGTTTTTGATTACGAATCTTTAGAATCATTACTAATGTACTGTTCTTGTTATTTCTTATAGTAGGAGATATTATCGTCTTGTTTGTATATTGAACTTGAAAAACAAGTGGTACATGTGGATTAAGTGGTACAAGACTAATTTTATTCTAAAACTACTTCAACTAACGTTTTTAATGTGATCAAACACGAAATTCGTCTGATTACTGAGAATTATAATGCTCTTGAGGGTATGTGTGAGTGTGGGTGGGTGTGGTTATTTGTATTCTTCTCATTCATTACCTGCACTCACACCCTATTGAGAGATTATTCTTATTTGAATGCTAATCGATGAAAGAAATTCTTTATCTCATGTCAAGTTTAGAGAAACTTTATGTAAATGTGATAGCTTCAAAGAACAAAATCGCTATTGATTGTATTAAACGTTCGCTTAAAACAAAATGTGAACTGTAGGTATACATGTATTCACTAATTTCTCATCCACTTACAAGCTCCGTTTATTCACATATTTACTGACCGATCGAAAACATTTCTATTTCCATATCATTGAACTTTGAACTAACATCTTGCGACGGCGTACAGATTAACTGTCTCGTCCAGAGTGTTGCCTGATTCAGTCGTCTAGAAAAAAATACTTCTCTTTCAGCATAATATTATAAATTCATTATTATAATTGAAAATAATCATTTAGTTAAATAGCTAAAAGTGAAGATGAAAAGGTAAGTTTAAAAAAAATAAAATACATTCTCTTTTAAATGAATATTTCAAGAGTCAACTCCAATCATTGCTTGAATGCACCTAAACGAAATTCGAAAACTGTATTTTGCCATCGTCTAGCAACGCATTTTGAAGATCTTTCAAATGAACTTTTATTCGATATTTTCGATTATCTTGATGGTTATCATATATTCGAAGCTTTTTCTAATCTTAATAACCGTATTCAACATCTCGTTACTAGTTCTTATTTCCTTCTCAAATTAAATATTTCATTTATGTCTAAATCGAATTTTAACAGACGTTCGATCAATATTATCCGTCCATATATGAATCGAATTATTTCATTACAATTATCAGAGACATTTTTCATCAAAAATTTCTTTACATCATTTCCTGTTGACACATCATTCAAGCGTCTCGAATCATTGGTACTCAATCATCTTAATATAGATCATAGTGGTCCTATTCTTATTAGTTTAGCCCAATTACCTCGACTCTTCTCTTTCACAATCTTTTGTTACGAATGTAATGAACTGTTTATTATTTTTCAATCAATATTTCGTCTACCTGTTTTACGATATGCCAAAATTTTGTGTTCGAACTGGTGTTCTAGATTTCTGTTTCCCCTGGCTACGAGCGACAGTCAACGAAGTATGACTCTTGAGTATCTCGCCTTTGATAGTCCATGTCATCTTCCACGTATTTACAATCTTCTGTCATATACACCTCGACTTCGTCGTTTGTCAGTTGAGAATATATTGTTCAGTGACTACATACCACTAGAACAATTTATACTACCACGCAATCTAATTGGTATTTCTTTATGTGATTGGTGTTTATCATTTGATGAATTCGCATCATTCATTGCAATCGTTGGTTCCGAACTCGAATTCCTACGCATTTCAATTATTCATGAAACTGCCCTATCAAATGCTTATCAATGGCAACAATTAATTTTACGTCATATGCCACGTTTGCGTACGTTTCTCTTTGATTACCGCGGTTTCTTAACTAAAGATGCTCATGGAAATAGTCGCTGTCGAACGTTACTTGATGAATTTTCTTCGCCATTTTGGATCGAACGCCAATGGTTTTTTGCCCATAGCCATTGTGATTGTTGTTCTCAAGAAGAAAAAGAATGTTTGTCATTCTACTCAACTCAAATGCGCCGGTATAATCAATGAAAGAAACTACCTGTTGTTGTGAAGTAATGATTCTTTTCTTTTAGACGAGAGTTTTGTGAATTTGATGAATCTTTTGATAATAACATATGTTTGTACCAAGATCCAGTCTTCTATTTATCTTTTGGACCACGCATTAGTATAAAAAGTCAAAATATTGATGCCAATTTTCCTTTTCAATTTCCTTATGTAACTGAATTAGAAATTACAGATAATTATTATACGATCAATATGGACTCATTCATTGATAATCTAAGTCATATTATAACTTTAACAAATATTAGTTATTTAAAGATTTTATTTAATAATCAATGGTTGAACAATTTTGTTAAACTTCTTAATCGTATGCCTAATGTTCAAAAATTGATTCTTAATGTACGGTCATCATCTGAAATGGAAGCATCGTCAGATCAACAAACTAATACAGCTGACTTGGTATGCAATAATAATGTGCGATATGTAATAATAACTGATGAACTTGCATTTACCACTGTTCAACTAATCAATAAGCTTTTTCCTCGAATGGAACGTCTTAAAATTCAGAACAGAAAGGATGCTCTCATATCATTTGTACGAACTTTGTTATCAAACAGAGTTAATAATAGTCATCTTTTCTCATTGATGTTTTATGGTGATAATGCGATGATTAAAAAATTGAAGACAATGATCGATAATGAAAAATTACTTGATAAGTATAATATCGAACGTCGACAATTCGAATTTTGCTTATCGTGGTAAAAAAATGTCTTTTGTTCTTACTCTGTATATAGTTAATTAAATACTAATTATTTCAAATAAGATTGTATATGCAAATAAATGTATGATTATCATCTGCATGTCATAGGATGCAAACCATAATAGGTTCCGCGAGTGAGCAATATGATCAAGAGAAAATAAGCAATACTTCAAATTCTGAGTAAAGTAAGCGAAGTCTCGCTTATATTCTCTTGGATTTATGTGTTTTTATGTAAAAAGAATGATATTCACATTGATTAAATATAAAAATCATTATTTCATAATATTTTGCATAGACGTTAACTGCTACGTAAGATAATTTGGGTAAATGTTTGATTAAATATAAAGTATCTGATTCATTTAAATTTCTGTACAACATATTAAATTAGACAGATCGAATATTAATATTTCTTTGAATGCATCTGATGTTTTATACTTGATAAATTGATCATACTTTGAAGATATTTTCTATGTGAATGTTTTGTTCTAATACCTGTGTCAAGAAACAGATTTGGGTATCTGAGTGTTAATGAATTGATATTAGAAAAATAATACTAACTCTGTTTTGTTAACACATGAAGGTCGATTGAACCATTATTGAAGTACATCTGATTTTAGGTAATAGAGATTCAAATGTGTTAAATGGATATGGTATAGTATAAATTGCTGTTGAATGAATCGATATGATATATACTCCGTATTGCCAATGATATCTGTTACACCAAAAACGTTTTTTGAAATTTTCTGAAGATCTTTGCATTAATATTTTTGGTTGAACTATGGAATGGAAATTTGAATGAAGATTTCGATATGACTTTTGTTATATCATAGTTTCTTATCTTGATTCTCTGTTTAGAAAAGATGTAGATGCGAATACAGTATGGATATTCAACAGTAAAATCGTCTATCAGGTGTTTTTGAAGGTTCTGCATCAGATCATTTAGATTATCTTTTGGATGTATTTCTTGATCGAGAAGGAAATTTATATGTGACTGATATATTAAATAATTGAGTACAAAAATTTCTTATTGATACAAGAGTTTGTGTCCAGCAAAATAATTCAAAATTCGAATATGTCTAATCAAAATAACAATAAACATTTCGTGACTTTTGAACAAAGAACGATTAAAAGAAATTGATTCAGATATTTTGATATCAAGGAAAAAAATTAAAAAATATTTATTTTTCTTATTTTATCTTTTTATTGCTTAATAAATCGATAAGATTCTATGAGGTTGATCGAAGTACTAAATATGTTGATATGATATATATCGTTTGTTACATGATACAGTTGTTGCTGTTGCATCTAAGAAAATACTTCTCGATCAATTGTTACGGTCAAATAACGTTAATGAAGGATCTTGAGAGTTTATTTGTAAATATAGAAGATACAGTCGATTATAAAAGATTTCAATACTTTCAAATGAGTTAAGAATAGAAAAATAAATATCTTTTCGAAGACTATTTTTGTTAAACAACAAAATTCGGTCGACATGTTGATTCAAGTTTCATAAAATTTGTAATTGATAAAAGTAATTCAGTAGACATATTTGATGGAAGAAATATATCAAATTTAAATGGAGCATTAAATGGAACTCCATTCATGTGACCATTTCGTGTTTGAATAACAATTGAGCGACAACAAAACCATGCACGTAACATCATATCAATTCTATTTGATGCTTGAATTATTTCAGTACGTACAATCATTATATTATCCTATTGCATGCCCAGCATTGAATCAAGAAAAAATCCATCTGTTCCAATAAGTATATGACCATAACCACGAGATAAGATTGTTTTTCTATATGATTTATTCATTTTTCCTTTCGTTTCATTATCTATATGTTGAACATATCTTATCCATTGATCACCTTCCAAACGAATCATATAACGAATACCACTTTTAACTATTTAATTTATTCCTGACATGCGCCGTTCGTACACCCAAAGCGGTATAATAAAAAGAAACGGAAGGATGGGGAATAAAAGTAATAAGATCAAGAAACTCCATCAAAATGTTCGTCGTTCAGGTTTTTGTATAATGTGAAGAATATTTTGAATAATTTTTTCATTTTCATCAGGAGTTGTTCTTCCAATAATATCTCCAGTATTTGATTCAAGGCTTCGTTGAAGATCACTTACAGTATATGATGAAGGTTCTGATGATAATGTATCAGCGAAAGATGATTCAGGTACTATTTGATTATTCCTATTGATTACAAACACTGTTTCTTGTGTTTTTCGTCCATTATTATTGTTGTGAGGATGATGGATTGGGGTTTCACCAGGATAAACCATCATGAATATGAAAAATAATATTCTTTTTAATCGATTTGATTATTATGAAATATACTATTGAAAGAGAAATAATACAGACGTGACAACCAATGGAAATTCTTTGTTTTCTATTTTTAAATAAATGATAATCATGTAAAAAAAACAATCGCATCGAGTAATGAAAAAAAGTGAAATCGATTATTTTGAATAATTAAATATCAAATATTTGAATAAATCCATTTTTGTAGAATAATGTTAATTAATGTTATTAATCTGAATCCTTTACGCCCGAGTTAGAGACAGAACAATCGCTGATTTACTTCTATGAGTGGAATGCAGGAGAAAATTTCAAAGAATTCTCACAATTTTTAGTAAAACATGATGCTATTCAGTCAAAAAACGTGTCGTAGAAATATCGGAAATATCTTATTTTATTGAAAAACGTTCTTCTAAAAACTATATGAATCACTAGAAGATACATTTTTCCATACTGTCTCAATATTTAGTAGGGCCCATATATTATGTGTTTTGAATTGCAATGCGAGGAACTGACATATTTACGAAGGACTGTTGTCAGTATATACTATAAAACACAAAAATAACGCTCTTTTTCTTGAGGGTGTTAATCGTAATTTTAGAAAAAAAGATTCTAAATTCTCATCATAATTATACAATATTATTTTTACTTTTAATGACTTTTCGACAGAAATTATGTGATAGTAATGATTTTTTGTAAAAGATGTGTGTGCAATGATGAAACTATTTATATAGTTAAACTCAACAACTAATAAATGCATCTTCTTTTATTTGCAAATAAATACAGTCATATCTAATGTTAATATCATGGCATCAAATTAACTAAATGCAATAGTACTATCGAACATATACAAAATCATTTTGATAAAAGAGTTTTCGTACTTACAAGATAGTTTTATATTGAACTTCCTTTTTTCCTGTGGATAAATTTTTGATGATTCAATCATTCAACTTTATGGTTCCGTATTATTACAGAAAAACTTCTCTAATTCATTATCATCTGACAAAAATCTTTGAGCAACGATCTTTCAAACCTCACTTACTATCATAAAAAACCTTTCTTTGGCTCAGCTCTACTGAAAACAGCCTTTTAGAGTTTTAATCTCGTTATAAAAAAACTTCAGCTTCATTTTGCATGAACTACACGCAACCATCACATAGTTCTGCTAAAGCTTTATTGTTTTAGTCAAAAAATCATAACACAAAAAAAAATACTCGCATGATCATCGTCAACGATTTATTCACCGTCCAAATACACTTACCAGTGCCACTTACGGTTTTCTTCCTTTTTTGTTCTCCGTCCAAGTAATTCTTTGATTACATGCATCGCATCATCCCCGATGTTGTTGTCCCAGACGTCTAGTTCGGTGAGTGTCTACGTAGAGAATTGGAAATCTAGACATCGTACAGATCAAGAGAAAGCGGGAATTACTGTGTTGTGTTGTAATGCATCACCCAAATGTTGCCCTCCAACATATCCGATTTGATTATATTGGAGATTGAGTATAGTCAGTGTCTAGATGAGAAAGTGAAGATAAAAACATGGTATGGATAATGAGAGAATAAGAGTTACTGTATTGTGTTGTAATGCATCAGCCAAAGATTGTGCTCCAACATCTCCAATTTTATTATAATCGAGATATAGTATGGTAAGTGACTAGGTGAAAAAGTGGAGGTAAGAACATGGTATAGATAGAGCTAGAATAAGTTCTACTTTGTTGTGCTTTAATGCATCACCTAAAAATTGTGCTCCAATATGTCGGATTCGATTGATTCCGAGATTCAGTTTCGTGAGCGTCTAGATGAAAAAGTGGAAGTAAAGACATGTCATAAATAAAGAGAGAGAGAGAGTTACTGCATTGTATCGTAATGCATTACTTAAAGATTGTGTTCCAACATCTCCGATTTCATTATATCTGAGATTTAGTTTGGTGAGTGTCTAGATGAAAAGTGGAAGTCTATACATCGTATATATAAGGAGAGAATGAGAATTACTGTGTTATATTGTAATGCATCACCAAAAGATTGTGCTCCAACATCTCCGATTTTATTCTGTCTGAGATTTAGTTTGGTGAGTGTCTAGATAAAAATGTGGAGATAAAGACATGGTATGAATGATGAGAGAATAAGAATTACTGTGTTATGTTGTAATGCATCACTCAAAGATTGTGCTCCAACATCCCCGATTCTATTCTCCTTGACATCTAGTACCGTGAGTGTCTAGATGAAAACGTAGTGATTAAGATATGATATGGATAATGAGAGAATAAGAGTTACTGTGTTATATTGTAATGCATTACCCAGAAATTGTGCTCCAATATCTCCGATATGATTATATTGAAGATTGAGTATAATCAGTGTCTAGATGAGAAAGTGAAGGTAAAAACATGGTATAGATAATGAGAAAATAAGAGTTACTGTGTTATGTTGTAATGCATTACCCACATATTGTGCTCCAATATCTCCGATTTCATTGCTCCAGAGGTTGAGTGTGGTGAGTGTCTGTAAGAAAAAATGGAGGTAAAGACATGGTATTAATAACGGGAGAATTGCCATTACTGTGTGATGCTGCAATGCATTTCCTAAAGATTGTGCTCCAATATGTCCGATACGATCACGTCCGAGATGTAGTGTGGTTAGTGTCTAGATGAAAAAATAGAGGTACAAATATAGCATAGAGGAAAAGAGAAAGAAAGTTACTGTGTTGTATCGTAATGTATCACCCAAACATTGCGCTCCAACATCTTCGATTTGATTTGTCGTGAGATTTAGTGTGGTGAGTGACTAGATGAAAACTTGGAGGTAAAAACATAGTGTAGATGAAGAGATAATAAGAATTACTGTGTTATGTTTTAATGCATTAGCCAAAGATTGAGCTCCAATATGTCCGACTTGATTCACTCCGAGATTGAGTAGTGTGAGTGTCTAGATGAAAAATGGAGGTACGGATATGCCATAGACGAAAAGAGAACGAGAGTTACTGTGTTGTATTGTAATACATTACTTAAAAATTGTGCTCCAATATCTCCAATTTGATTGTCCCGAAGATTGAGTGTAGTGAGCGTCTATGAGCAAAAAAATAAGTAAAGATATGGTATTGATATCAGGAGAATTGGAATTACTGTGTTATGCTGCAGTGCATTACTCAAAGATTGTGCTCCAATATCTCCGATTTGATTACCTCCGAGATTTAGTTCGATGAGTGTCTATATGGAGAGATGGAAGTCTAGACATTGTACAGATAAAGAGAGAATGAGAATTACTGTGTTATATTGTAATGCATTAGCCAAAGATTGTACTGTAACATGTCCGATTTGCTTGTACCAGAGATCGAGTGTGGTAAGTGCCTAGATGAAGAGATATAATAATGGGGTCGGTATTATATGGTGCTAGCGCAATGAAATAAAGGCTGTTCGGACCCGGTTATTTGATTAACGAAAAATGGTTTTTAGATTACTTCCGTGCAAAAGAATTGTGCAGCGTAGTAAAGTGTTTGGTATCGAAGTTATGCGTAAGTGAAAAGACTATACTGATTCTGATGTTACCATACGATTGAGATCATGACGTATCATGAATTTAGAAATAGTGAAAGGTCAAACAATGTATTTCAGAATGCTAGACTCGTTACAAATAGAAGTTGAATGCATACTAGAACGTCGGAGAATGTGGATGTTGTTTTGAGTCAATCTTCTCTTCATTTACAGTCCTGTGTGCTCGTGAAGGTGTATTTATCGAAAGTATTTCTCATGGAAATAGTATTTTAAAGAAGGTAGTTAGATATACGGCGAAAGAAAATAAAAATGTTTTCTTCCTTTTTTGTCATTCTTCTCTAAACAGTGTATGTTGATGACATTATATGTAGGTTGAAACGTGGAGTGTTTAGATGAAATTGAAAAGAAAAGAAAAGAAAAAAAAGAAATTATTTTGAGTGATAAATATAGTTTATTTATGTATGTTTTATCGGAATCAATAGATGAAAGTTTTACCTGATATCTATGATAACTGTCTATGATCATGTTAAATCGTTGACACACGTTTGTCATGGAGCATATGATCGTGAGATCCGATTGGTGATCCATAATTCGGTAGACAAGTTCTACCGGTAAAGTGATGAAGTTGGTGAAAGTTTGATTTGCCATTGTAAATTGTTGGTTATATGGTGTGTTATTTTTTCTTTCGATCAAGTGAGTAGATATTTGTTTTGTCATTGGTTTCACACTGATTTTGCAATTACATGTTGGAAAAAAAAAGAATGATAGAATTGTTATGACAACTATACACAAGATTTTTGTTAAGATTGTTTTATCAATATAAAATGGTATATAATATAGATGAATATTGTGTTCTTAGTTATAATCAGTAGTGGTTGAATAACTTTCTTGGTTATTTGATTATAAGATGATACAGAATTGCTTCTCATGAAACAGAATCAGATGAGTGGATCGACGAAAAACAATAAGATTATTATACTAGCATCGTTGACGAATTTTATTCTAATGTGATCTATTGTTCGACAAATTTGTCTGAAATATTGACAAGATTTCGCTTCATCTGAAGGGTGTGGGTGTGGGTGTTGATATTCTATTTAATCCACATCCACACACCCTTAAAAAAATCGATTAAGATTATTTTAAATAAGAAAGGCAGTAGAGAAAAGTAATAATTAATTGAATTACATTCTATTTGAAAGTTATGTGTTCATCTTATACATAAGAGAATATTCACAATCCAAAATCAAATCGATTTTATTATTGAATATCTTTCGTAATTATCGTATTGATATTCACAATGGAAATATCATATGTTTATGTATTCTAAATTAGATTGAATAACGAAAAAGATATGAAATGAAATTTAAACTTATTTTTATGAATCATCTAAATATTCAATAAGTTAAAAATTTAAATTATTTATTAAATCAATATTTACATTTCCAATGAAAATATTTCTTCACAGATTTTTTATTTTTTTCAAATCTATGTTTAATTATCTTGTGAAAATAACACAAGATTTATTTATTAATACTTCAATTAAATCATCAAATTTAGTTCAAATAAAGAAAAATGACTTTCTCGTTTTCATTTTCTGTTTTAATTAATCAAATTCACATTATAAAAATAAATAAATTTATCATTTCCATTATCATATCGTCAAAACAGAGTACAATTCCTTCCATTCTTTTCTCATAAAAAAAATCACATCACTTTAAAAGAAACACGTGTGATAATGTCATTATAAAAGCTGTTTTTATAATGAATTAACTTTTTGCTTTCCCGATTTTGACACAACTAAAATTGTAAGCAGATTAAAATATCAAAAATCTTGAGGATGTGGGTGTTATATTTGTTTCTCACCCATGCCCACCCATTCCATAGTTCATTAGATTAAATAATATTTTAATCATCAAACTTCATTCAACACAAATATGTTTATCTACAAACTAATATATGAAGTAAACAAAATATTATTTGGTCAATTTATTCGTTCGTTCTACAAACAATTATTCTATTATTTACTTTCACTTATTAAAAGTGTAATAATCTTATTGAATTCTTAATTAAATTCATATTTAATTATTAGTTGTCTGCGTTTTGTTGAAGACACATAAACATATGACAAATGATCATAGAAACGCAATTTTCATTTAATTTCTAACAGAATAACAAATAAATTTCAGTGAGATTTTCTTTAATTAAATTTTATAATAATTTTTTAATTCTATTCAATAAAATTCTTATTCAATAATAGTCGTTTTCATCTCTTTAATATTAAAGTTATTATAAAACCAAACCTATTTGTCATTTTTTATGCTAAAGATAATCTTATTGTACAGCATTCAACTTTCAGTCAGTTTTTCTTTTGACTTTTTTTTCATTTTTATCAAGTTTTTTCATACAAATCTCAGCAATAATATTACAATTCTTCTTTCCTTTAAATCGAGTAAGAAAAATAATTTGTCTCATTTATTTTAAAATTTGTCAAAATCAATTCTATGAACAAATCATCTAATCATCATTTATATTTTATTTAAAAAACATCACCACTATTATCTCTTCTTCTTTCATTATTATTTCAATGACAGAAACAACAATATCATTAAATCTTATTTTATCACAAAATTGAGTAATTCATTATTCAAATATTTTCTTTGTCTTTTGATTTAATCACAAATCCTAAGTTCAAAATGAAAATAACAAATATTTCATTACTATCATTATTATCAACACAATAGATCGAACCAAATAAATTAACAAGTTTATTTATTTTAAAAATAATTTTATTTATACAAAATATTAATTCAATCTATCCCATTTCAGCTTATCGTTCATTTTATTTATTCATACACACACCGAAGATTATCTCATATGCAATAGAATTTAAACATCATTTCTATGTATCTCAATCGAATCAGAAAATTTCATTTTAATTATTAAAATATAATTTCAAATCAATCACAACAAAATTCGTGAATAAAATAAACTTTTATTTTATTATTTTAACAAATTACATCAAAACAGATATTTATCAATGAATGAAACTTAATTTAATTATTAACAGAAACTCATTTTGAACTTTTACATTTATTTAGGTTTCAATCAAAATCAAAGAAAATGTTTTCATAAAAAAATTTAATTGTTCATTTCATCATCAACCTTGATAAATTTAATTCAAATCAATATTAAATTTTTGTATTCGATGATTATGACAATCGACAACATAAAGATTACCTTCAATATCGAATGATAAACCTGCGGGATATTTGAACTGATTTGATTGTTCTCCTCTTCCATTTCCACCAACAACAATACTACCTTCCTTAGAGCCTTCGCACCAACGCATTATTCGCTCATTCGACATATCAGCCACATAAACATTACCCAAATGATCGACAATCACTCCTCGAGGATTAGACAATTGTGTCAAACTATTCCCCTTACCTTTTCCACCAGCAACAACAATACCTTCTTTTGCACCTTTCATCCATTTCATCACACGATGATTCCTCCAATCCGACACATAAACTGAATGATGTTCATCAACGCAGATATGAGTAGGATGATTGAGTTGATTGAGAAGATTTCCTTCTCCTTTCCCACCTGCTACTATTGTTCCTTCTTTCTCTCCTTGTTTCCATCGTCTCACTTCATGCTTCTTCCAATCAGAGACATAAAGATCTTCATTTTTGTCCATTATTAATCCCCAACAATCAATGTTAGAAATGATTGTTTCTCCATTTGTACCATCTTGACGAGACCATCGTACCACGCGTCGGTTCAGTCGATCACAAATGATGAGGGAATCATTCTTTTTATCAACAATCACATTTGCTGGTTCATTCAATTGATCACTTCCATTTCCATGCCCATTTCCACCTGCAACGACTTGATCATTCTTTGCTCCATATTTCCATTCAACAATACGATCATTCCCAGAATCAGCTATATAAATAGTTTGATCATCGTCATCAACATAGATACCTTGAGGTTGAAAGAGTTGATTTAATTGATTACCATGTCCATTTCCTCCAGCCATAGTAATTCCATGTCGTCTCCATTTAGTGTTGATATTAATATGATTGAGAAGAATTGATTGTCCTAAAAGAAAAATAAATCTTAAATATTTGAATGAAGTTGATGAATAAATGTAATAAAATAAAAATGATAGTTTGTATAAAAATGAATGTTGAGAGTTTGATTTGTTGAATTAGTATGTTGAGAGGGTGATAATAAAACAAAGTAAAAATGATTTGAATTTATTTAATTGTAACTTAAATTTAATTTAATTTAAAACTTATTTAATAAAATTGTTTTTGTATTTGTAAGGTAAAACGTGAAAAATATTTAAATGTTTTTATCTTTGAAAACTATTTCACAAACAAGTTTCTTGTTCTATAAGCTCCTGATAAACAAAACTAAATTCTACAAATATTTTAATAAGAACTCTTCAAGAACATTGTCACAATTTTCGTTTTTTGCTTAACAAAGATTCTTAAGAATGAAAAATGAAAGAGACATAAATTAGACTTAAATAGATTTCTTCTTATTTTAACCAAAAAGAAATAAATTTAATTTGCAAATATAGAAGATTGATAAATTCTATAAATAAATGAGAACGAAGTTGAAGATATTTTTCTATGAGAATAAAAACAGAACATAAAGTTATATTGTGATGATTTTTTAAACAGATGTTAAAGTATCAAGAACTAATCTCACTCGCATCGAAATCAATAAAATGGATGAGACAAGAATTGTCAACATTATTTATAATGATATAGAATTATTTTAACTTTGTTTTCTTGAAATTATCCTTACAAATATGTCGAATTAATTTTAAAAAAATCTGATAGAACCAAATAGAGCAGTAAAGTAATACTAAAAAGCTTTTTTTAAATGACTTTGCGGACACACTGTATTTTCTATGTTTATAGCGATTCAAAATTATTTCAGACTCACCAATTGGAAATTGTTGATTTAAATAAACTTTCCGTCGAAGCGAAGATACTCGAAATGGATATTGATCATTATTTGTTTCATTCATCATACCATTACAGACACCATACATTATTTCACCAATAGTTAAATTCGGTTGATCAATATGTTGAAAAAGATGAGATGTAAATAAACTATTTCGACCATTTTCTGATTTATCTAATGCAACTTTATTTGCTGTACATGCAAAACTAATAAATGAATGACCAATCGGTCGCATACTTGAAAGACAATTAAAATTTGTTGATTCGCATACAAAACTATTTCGACAACAATCAAGAAGAAATATAGCTGCTGATGGACGACGATTGATAATCTTTTCAAGCGTAACTTGAGCATTTATTGCTCGATATTCCAGATCAGTATTTGTTTTAATTCGATCGTCATCAATGGGCATAAGAAAATTTAGATGACTCCATTGACATCCGTGACCGGCAAAAAAGAAAAGAACAAGATCACCTGGATTTATCTTATCGTTAAACGTTTCAATAATTCTATTCATCTGTTCATATGTCAAATTAGTACCAATTGTGATTTCAAAGTCAATTTTATATAATTTGTTAGCAAGATCTTCAGCATCATTGATACAATATTGAAGTTGACTATTTTTCTTGTATTTATTGTTGCCAATGAGAAGAGCTCGTTTTGTATGAATTGAGTTATTTGATGTTGAAAATCCGGGAACCGTAATCTATATATATAAATTTACAACGATTCGTTAAATTTTTATAAAAAAAACGGACGAGACTAGAAGTACTGTCTGTTGAGACTTCTGTTTGAATCTACAGAGCTTGTGAAAACTGCTGTTTTTACATTGTACAGACTGGTGTATTTGATTAGAATTTAATTAATGACATATTGTTACAAAAAAGATACGTTTAAAAGAGCTTTCGATATGGATACGAATAATAAAATGTTCGTAGCCAAACGTTCTTTAAATAGCTTATCAAGCTACAACGAAATACTTTTTTGAGTAAAACAACTGATACATTCAGTGAATTAATCATGCAACATAAAGAAGAGTAAGAGTGAAGGCGAAGCAAAGATAAAAACTAGAATTCTATCCTGTCCAAGATCGAGTAGAGAAGTTGGCTGACTGCACAAACCTCAAATGTGTTCGAATACAATTTCATATGACATCTACTAATTCTCAATGTAAGGCTCACGAAGAAGAAACCATAATGAATTTTAATCCGGTGTAGCTATTTTTGATAAGCAGAAAAGCAAGAAATAATGAATCTAAATATATTGCCGTATAATAAAATTCTCAGCTGTTAATTATCATCTTTTTCGCATTTTTATAGCTTCCGTATAGAGTCGAATTTCGAAAGACAGATTTCATATGTACAGTTGTCACCTTCTTGCGATCTCAGCAAACTTTTTCCTAATTTAACATGATTGTATAGCACATCAGTCAAAAATTTCAACTCAATGTCATCAATACTCTTTCAGCGAAGATCCATTTTAGTGATTATTTTCAGAAAAAGGTAAACAAGTGTGCAAAGAAATTTAAAAAAAACGACCTACTTTATCATTTCGTATTTGAATTGCTGCACTCACAGTTGTATAATAGCTACCAGAATTTCCTTCGAGGTTCAATTTAATAAGTGTCTATGTTAAAGAATAACGATACTAAAATAAGATAAATGAGAAGTGTTGAAGGTTTACTTTGTTTTCTTTTAAGGCATCATCAAGGCATTGCAATCCATTGTTACTGATTTGATTGTAGGAGAGTTCGAGAATGGTGAGTACCTATGAAGTAAAAGTAAAAACTATTATGATATCAAATGTGAGTGAGCTATTACTTTGTTGTTTTTTAATGCATTAGCTAAATACTTTATTCCGGTGTCACTAATTTTATTTTCCCGAAGGTTCATGTAAGTGATTGTCTATTTCACAGCAAAAAATATAATCATTAATTATATTAGATAACAAAATATCTTACTTTGTTTTTGTATAATTCATTTGCTAATAATTTTATTTCATTGTCTCCATACTGGTGCCATCGAAGATCTATACTGGTGAGTGTCTGTTAGAAAAAAAAGTAAAACATTAAGTAGAAAGTCGATCAATCGTAAAAGACCTTATCGTTCCGAATTCCAATTGCTATTCCAATAGCTTCACAATATTTACTCTTGTTATAATCTAGTCTCACCTTCATTATTGTCTGTAGGATAAATAAAACTAGTTAAAACGAAGACATCATCTCACAAACGAACTTTGTTCGTTTCCAATGAATTAAATAGTTCATGTGCCCCAATATCTTCAATTGCATTGTTCGAAAGGTCTAGTGTAACTAGCGTCTGTTCAAAAATAACAATATCAACAATAATAATTAAATAAGGAAAAAAAACATTTTACAGTATTGTTTCGTAGCATATCAGCTAAATATTGTGCTCCGATATCGCTTATTTCATTACGCGATAGATTCAATTCCGTGATTGTCTATGTCACAATGAAAACTCTAAATAATACTTAAATAAATTGAGATAATAAATTACAGTGTTATTTTGTAATGCATTAGCTAAATATTGAGTTCCAGTGTCTTCAATATGATTCTCCGAAAGATTTATCATAGTCATCATCTGTGTCAAATGAAAAAATATTCATTAGGATAGAAAAATTTTAAAATAAAATTCACCTGGTTTGTTTGTAATAGACCATTTAAGTATTTTGCTCCAATATATCCTATTTGATTCCTCGAGAGATTTAGTATCGTTAATGTCTGTGAGAAAAGATAAACTTCACTATGACGAAAATGTACGCAAATTAATAATCACTTTGTTGTTTTGTAATGCATCAGCTAAATATTGAATTCCAATGTCACTTATTTTATTTTGCTCAAGATTCAACTCAGTGATTGTCTATATCACAATAAAACTATAATCATCAATGTAACAAATAGAGAAATGATGCTACTTCATTGTTGTATACTGCATCAGTCAAAAATTTCATCGCAGTATCATCAATACTCTTTCCATGAAGATCCATTTTAGTGATTGTCTTCAGAAAAAGTAAAAACTTATGAGAAAGAATCTCGAAGAAACGAATTACTTTATCATTGTATATTTGAATTGCTGCACTCACAGTTGTACAGTACCTACCAGGATTTCCTTTGAGGTTCAATTTAATAAGTGTCTATGTTAAAGAATAACGATACTAAAATAAGATAAATGAGAAGTGTTGAAGGTCTACTTTATTCTCTTTGCAGGCATCATAAAGATGTTGTATTCCATTGTTACCGATTTCATTGTGGGAAAGGTTAAGAGTAGTGAGTACCTATGCAGAAAAAGTAAAAATGATTATGCTTTCAAATGTGAGTCAACTATCACTTTGTTGTCTTTTAATGCATTCGCAAAATGTTTTGTTCCAATATCTCCGATTTTATTCTGAGAAAGGTCCAACTTGATAAGCGTCTATATCGCATGGAAAACAATAAACATGAGGATAAATAAATCTGGAATAAATTTTACATGATTCGTTTGTAATACATCGCTTAAGTATTTTATTCCAGTATCTCCGATTGTATTCTGGGAAAGGTCCAACTCAATGATTGTCTGTATCACAACGAAAGTAAGATCATCAATGAAACAAATAGAGAAATGATGTTACTTTATTGTTGATTAGTGCATCAGTCAAAAACTTCATCCCAATGTCATTAATACTCTTCCCACAAAGATTCATTTTAGTGATTGTCTTCAGAAAAAGATAGACAATTGTGAGAAAGAATTTGGAAGAAACAAATTACTTTATTATCTCTTATTTGAATTGCTGCACTCACAGTTGCACAATAGCTACCAGGATTTCCTTCGAGGTTCAATTTGATAAGTGTCTATACCAAAGAATGACCATACTAAAGATAAATGAGAAGCGTTGAATATTTACTTTGTTTTCTTTGAATGCATCATAAAGATATTGTGCTCCATTGTTTCCGATTCGATTGTGGGAGAGTTCGAGGATGGTGAGTACCTATGCAGGAAAAGTAAAAATGATTCTGTTATCAAATGTACGTCAGGTATCACTTTGTTGTTTTTTAATGCATCAGCTAAATATAGAATTCCTGTGTCTCCAATGTGATTCTTCGAAAGGTCCAACTCGATAAGTGTCTATATCATAATGAAACTATGATTATCAATGTAACAAATAGAGAAATGATGGTACTTCATTGTTGATTACTGCATTAGTCAAAAATTTCATCCCGATGTCATCAATGCTCTTCCCACAAAGATTCATTTTCGTGATTGTCTTTAGAAAAAAGTAAAAATTTGGGAGAAAGAATATAGAAGAAATGAATTACTTTATTATTTCGTATTTGAATTGCTGCACTCACAACTGTACAGTAGCTACCAGGATTTCCTTTGAGGTTCAATTTAATAAGTGCCTATACCAAAGAATGACCATACTAAAGATAAATGAAAAGTGTTGAAGGTTTACTTTGTTGTCTTTTAATGCATCAGCCAAATATAGAATTCCTGTGTCTCCAATGCGATTCTTCGAAAGGTCCAACTCAATGATTGTCTATACCACAATGAAACCATGATCATCAATGGAACAAATGAGAAATGATGTTACTTCATTGTTGTATAGTGCATCAGCCAAAAATTTCATCTTGATGTCATCGATACTCTTTTCGTGAAGATCCATTTTAGTGATTGTCTTCAGAAAAAGTAAAAACTTATGAGAAAGAATCTCGAAGAAACGAATTACTTTATCATTGTATATTTGAATTGCTGCACTCACAGTTGTACAATAGCGACCAGGATTTTCTTTGAGGTTCAATTTAATAAGTGTCTATGTTAAAGAATAACGATACTAAAATAAGATAAATGAGAAGTGCTGAAGCTTTACTTTATTCTCTTTGCAGGCATCATAAAGATATTGTATTCCATTGTTACCGATTTCATTGTGGGAAAGGTTAAGAGTAGTGAGTACCTATGCAGGGATAGTAAAAATTATTATGATATCAAATGTGAGTCAACTATCACTTTGTTGTCTTTTAATGCATTCGCAAAATGTTTTGTTCCAATATCTCCGATTTTATTCCGTGAAAGGTTCAACTCAATGATTGTCTATATCATAACGAAACTATGATCATCAGAGAAACAAATAGAGAAATGATGTTACTTTATTGTTGATTAGTGTATGAGTCAAAAACTTCATCCCAATGTCATCGATACTCTTCCCACTAAGATCGATTTTAGTGATTGTCTTCAAAGAAAAGTAAGAAGTTATGAGAAGAAATCTAGAGGAAAGGGATTACTTTATCATTTCGTATTTGAATTGCTAGACTCACAATTGCACAATAGCTACCAAGATTGCATTCAAGGTTCAATTCAATAAGTGTCTATGCCAAAGAATGACGATACTTATGAGAAATGAGAAATGTTGAATGTTTACTTTGTTTTCTTTTAAGGCATCATAAAGATATAGTGCTCCCTTGTTTCCAATTCGATTGTGGGAAAGATCCAGAGTGGCAAGTGTCTGTGTATACGATAAGAAATAAGTATGATTTAAATGTGTCTGAGAAATATCTAACTTGATGGTTTTGTAATGTGGCTGCCAAATACTGTGCTCCAATGTCGCCAATCTCATTACGTGAAAGATCAACTGTGGTTAATGTCTGAATGATATATAAAAGGTGAATTTCAGTGTACGAAGTTTGAAAATTATGTCACTTTGTAGTTTAGTAGCGCCACAGCTACATATTGTATCAAATTATCTCCAATTTGATTGCGGGAAATATTTAATTCAAAGGATGCCTATGTAAAAACATAACAGTATACATCATGAAATGCAAACGGGTGTGAAGAATCATAGATGAAATCAGTACTGAAACTCGTCACAAAAGATTGTGATTTGTATGATCTTGTATAAAATATGAGTAAGATCTATTCATATTTTTTTTTTGTGCAACTGAAATAATATAATTCGTTTATTCTATTCGACTGAGAATGTAAGCGTACTTCATGAAATACCTATATTGCGTATGTGTTCGAGCTTTATTCTAAAAGTAGACATTCTGTTCTACAAAAACAGCTCATACGACCATTCTTATACGTATAAGAAGGTTGTATCAGACTTACCTCATTTTCGATGTTATAGATCATATTGTAATTTCGATGCAAAATTAAGCGACAATTAGGTTTTGTTGATGATACTTCAAATACAGGAGATTCTGCTTGGACTTCAACCTCTGTACAGATCGGTGTTGTATAAAGTATAGTTTTCATTGCTAGTGGAATATAGTCACAAGTAACAAACCAATTTTTGTTGTTGAGCCAGAACGGACTTTGAAATGGTACGATAAGTGAATCTAAAGTAGCGGTATCACAGGATTTCTTGCTAGTACAAGTAAGAGAAAATTGAAATTGATTCAGTAAAAGTAGTTTCTTTTGAATGAATTGTTCCCAATAAGAACCATCAAATATCGAATCAAGTTTCGATCTAGATGAAACCAGTTCCAGATGACTAAGTGACGGTGTCAGTGAAAGAAAGCACTCCAGCTCTTGAGGCGATAGTCTGCAGTCACCAATAGTCAATGAATCCAATTGCAGATACACTGTTAAATCAAAGCATAGGATATGTACCATTTAAATAGCTGATTTTGTTTCGTTTTGATATTCTCTCTTCTAACATATTTCTGAAAAGCTGAGTTTACAAGTAGTTGACACAGATGATCGAACTTTCTCTAAGCTGTGTTTAATTTTCTTTCATAAAAAAATCTAACAGATAGTCAAAAATTGGGTCTATATCATTTTTTACTGGTAAACCTGAATTTGACTGAAAATTAAAAATGTTGGAGAACATGATGAGCTAAAAAATGTCCAAGTGAAGTTGAGGGAGAGTGAAAATATTTTTCTTCGATATGTTTACGTTATAGATTATTCAGGTGGATATTTTTCATTGGTAGCTATTGATTTTATCGTAAATAGGGATGAAGGCTATACAGGTGTGCTAAAAATACTTTTAATATTCTTTTTCGATATTTTCAATTTTGGTCTTTTCATTATCCTAAGCGTCTATGCAAAAAACTTTTCAATTAGAGCTTTTTCGTGTTACTAATTTAAAGTTTATAACTAAGTCAAATAATAAAATGTGCTCATATCTCATATCTTTGATCAACCTAGAATACATATGGCAGTATAACACAGCCCAATAAAGAAGAGTTGGAATCGATAAAATTGTTTTGTTAAGTGAAAACTATCCCAAATCGTAATCATCATTCGGACTCGTTTAATCAGATTATAAGTTGACTGAAAAGAACTATGAGAACAAACCCTTTTAGACTTGTACTAGTCTCAGTGAAATTTCTTGGCGAGCCTAATATAAGCTCGAATGATAAATATCTCTGTATCATTATTATAATGACTTAAGAGTCCATTTTACGCTGCGGTACACTGTTAGGGAGCTGAAACTTCTATCCAAGGAGTGTGTTCCGGTCAGATTGTGAGCCTAGTCCGAACTTTATGTAACCGAAAAGAATTGCTACCTATACAGTGAAATAGATGATGTTGAAAAGATGCATATTTAAGTTTGTACCTGTAGAATCAAATGTTGTAAGTGCATATGAAGAAACGGTTTGATCAGTTTTGTCCATAATACAGTTTCTAATAACAAGTGTTCTTAAACGGAGCGAATTACAAAGAATGATACAGTATTGATGATAAGAACAATCCCTGACTGTCAGTTGTTCTAATGTACTTTGGATAGGCCACATTATTTGATTAGTTATATAATCCAGATCAATTAAACGTAGTTTTTGAAGATTGGTTTGAACGACAACTGGAAAGATGATTGATAAGGCTGTATTATTGTCCGCTCGCTCACGCATATTGACTGTCAGTGAAACTAGAGAATTAATGGTAGCATTAAGAAAAAATTCGTTCATTTGATTGCAGTTGACTTTATAGAGAGTCAATGAACGAAGTCTAGTGAATTGACTAATGTTGACGTTTGAGAGAAAAAAATTGATGTACCATTGGCTGTCATTGGAGCCATAGAATATAAGTGAAGTGACGTTGAAAGGTTGAACGAGACGAGAAATAATTTTAAAGGAAGGATATCTCTTTGAAGTGGAGTTGTCAGTTGAATTGTAATGGAGTTGAAAACGATTATAAGAGTTGACAATCGCATGAAGTTGTCTGCAAACCGAACGGATCGAAAGAACAATAGTGTACGCATCGAGATAATCAAAGATACGATGCAGAAGTTCAACAGGCAAACAGACAAGCGGTGAGTTTGACATTTATCTGAAAACTTAGAATAAATTAAAAATTTCTAGGCTAAGCGGTTACTCTATCGTATAAATACGATATTTTATAGCACTTTACATTAAAAAAAAATCGATAAGAAACTAAACTTGTATACTTGAGACGGTATTCAAACCTTTTTTAAATTCTATCTCGTATCTGGTTATTTTCACTCTAAAGCGCAAGCAATGTATATAATAAAATACCCACTAACGTATCTTTTATCTTGAAAGTATGTGCATGCAAAATATGATTTCTCGCCTCATGTTGACGACAATACAGGTATACAAATACTGCAAACGTTATCACATCTGTAGAATAGAAGCGGTGCCTTTAAAATAAACTAAACAAATTATTTACATATATATTCAACTATCTCACGATATTGATACCGAATATAAAAATATATTGTCAAACAAACTAGATATTAGAATACAATCTTAAGGGTGTGAGTGTGAATGTAATCTTAAACTCACACCTTACCCTTAAGTTTAGGAATTACAACAGTCTCATCGATTTCAGACAAAAAGTGGACAATACTGAAGAATCTCATGGAATCTCGAAGAATGCTCGGGAATGTTGAAGAATCCTAAAGTATCGCAGAAAATTCAGGGAAACTTGGATTCTGCTTTTTTCCTCAAGTTTCATTTGCTATTTTTTATAGTTATTACTATCACTTATAATAAAACTCTGTCCTGTGTGTCGCTCACTTTATATTTCGAAGTATGGTGGGAATAAAGAACAGAACAAATTCTTTTTTTCCAACTTTCTTCAAAAATAAGAGATAATATCGTTACTAACAAAAAAACACCTTTGCTCTATAGGGTGAGTGTGTGAACTAAGAGACACCCACACCCTCATGTAAAGATAAAATCGTGATCGAATAACATTAACTTACCTTAGAAAACGAAGCGAAGCGCAATAAGATGCTTTGAAAAATATGATTAAAAGAATAAAAATGACTGAGTTAGATGAAAATAAATTCTTTATATACACGTGGTTTATCTTTGTTCTTTGTATTCGTTTGAGTTTATAAGAAGTAACTTTTATTCGCCTCTTTTCTCCGTCCTTATCAACAAATAAATGAATTTATCACAAGCAAACGAAAATTGAAAATGCAGCAGAATCAAAGTTGTTTGAGAGAGTTTTTTTTGATTAAAACAACTGGGTCGAACAAAAGAGCGCAAGCATACGAGACATACTGAAGAAGATATCGAAAACATTATTGAATTGTCATAATAATATTCAAGACTATGTGTTACACATGGAAAAAAATTAACAAACTAGTTTGTCAATGATTTAGGGTCTCTCTTATCAGGAAGAAGTCCAGCATTTACTGCAGAAAACAAGTTTCATTTTTCAATAGGTCGAAGCGATAGGGAAACATTTGAACTTTTTGTGAACAAAGATGAAAAATAAATATGAACTTTGTCTTACTTGTTTAAGTCATATCGTTCTTGATAGTATCTTATTTATAAAATACATTTAACTGTCTTGCCGACATTGACTTTATTTTAAAACATTCACAAACTGATTTTCATCTACAAAAGAAAATTACTGAGATGAAAGCTTCTTAAGTAGATTCTTGATCCGATCGAGTTTGGGTCTAAAAGTTTAAGAAGCGATTTAGTCTTTAATTATCTGTAAGAGACAATTATAAGTGGATTATTATAAAATCATTACAAAGATTTCTTGAGAAATGTGTAACGTACACTAACCGACAAATAACATCTCACATATTCAGAGTAACAGTTGAATTTCGATTAGAGAATTATACTAAGAGTATTACGTTAACAATCCATACATCTTGTACTGAATATTCTTTATTGTAAGAAGAATGATTTGTAGAGATATAAAAGATGTATTTTATTTTCTAAATAAAACAAAGTTAAAAATTTAATTAATTGAAAGAATTTTCAAACAAAACAAATGACAATAATCTAATAAATTCAGTTTAAGAATTTTAATGTTGAGAGAGATTTCTGTTTATCTTTTAATTATACTCATAAAAATAAAACAAATCTCATCAATCGATTTTTATTAAGATTTCTTAACAAAAGATAAAATTAAAAATGATATTTAACGATCATATAAATATTTTAAAATAATTCAAATTTATTAATTTATATTAATATTTGTTACGAAATGAATTATAAATTAAATACATTTATCTGTCCTTTTCATTTTTTGTTTCTTTTCATTGATAAATTTATTTTCTCTTAAAAATTGTTAGATAATTTTGTATTTAATTAATAAAAATAATTTTTTCTATAAGAAATGATTTCGAATAAATAACAATATTAACTTTAAGTTGTTATGTAATTATTTCGAAAAGAATAAGTTAATTTTCTTTGAACATTTAGAATTAACTCAAACTTAAGAGTGTAGGTGCCGGTGTAGATGTTGGTGTATCATATCTATGGTAACCACAACCACACTTACACCCACGCATCCTCAAGATAATTATTCTATTATTTACTTTCACTTATTAAAATTATAATAATCTCATTTAATTTTTAATCAAATTCATATTAAATTATCAGTTATCTCCATTTTATTAAACATGCATAGACATATTACAACTTGATCAAAGAAACGCAATTTTCATTTAATTTCAATGAGATTTTCCTTACTTAAATTTTATAATAATCTTCTAATGCTTTTTTTCAATAAAAATCTTATTCAATAACAATCATTTCTGTCCCTTTAATATTGAATTTTCGCTAGAATGAAAAGGATAGGGTCCAGAGACGGGAATTATCTATTTACATGTATTATTTTTGTCGGTAACATGGCAAAAATGACCATTTTGTTGGCACAAATAATCATGTAACTATGGCATATTTTTGATAATATAATTTTATTTGCTATTATCGTTTTATTTGAATAGCATAATATTTAATATATAATATTTTATTGAATAAATTAAAATAATGAGGCAATGCCAATTTTACTTTTAATATGGAGGAAGATGAAAATGATATTAATAACAAAAAAACGAAACGTTCGTATATACAGAGTATTATAGCGCTTTGAAAACAATGTTCGCCTATTTTTGTATGGCATGTCATTTATTATCATCGACAAATGTTTTTAATGCATGTTTGACAAAAAACAATGATGTATCGAAACGTTCTATATGATAAATGAATAAAATAAGATCCAGAAGTAGAAGCTTAAAAACATACGCCTTGTAATTTGATCATAAAAAAGTTTAGTTTTTGCATTATTACAAAACATTATTAATAAGTTTGTCAGTTTCATAGTCCTGGTAGAGTGCATATAGATAAAAAAGTTCAAAATCAATTTTGATATACAATGTTAAAGAGATCTCCATGCACTGTGGTTTTTTGTGAAATCCTACGTTTTATAAAATTGACTTCAATAAAGCTAAAGCATTTTTAAACTTTATTATTCATTCGTCAAATATGAACCTTTTAGAAAATGTTTGATTTTATATGAGTTAGAAATTCAATTTGATTTCCTGCTGAGAGTCAAGTGAATCGAGTTTCGATGAACGCTACTTGATGGATAATCAAAATTGATAATATGATCCAATTAAATCCGTTGATCCTAATAAGTAATAAAAGACTGTATTTGCAATATTTATTAAAACTATTTCATTGATTTTAAGCAAAAAAGATTTCATTAGCTTGTTGGTTTATATGACTTAAACTTACTGCAACATTCTAACACATTTCAGATAAGATCGTTATCATCATATTATGATAAAATATTAAAACTATCGATGATTAATGCAATAATTAAAGCAGCTAAATTCTAATGATAACTTTTCAATTATATTATGATTCATATGAATAATGATGGCAATTGTCGACTAGCAACTGCAACTTTTATAATATCATTTCGAGTAATTTCCAAATGACTTCTATAAACGCTAATTTAGAGGAGGTTCGAAAAACATTGCCGAATATCGATCTGATAGTAAAATCGAAGTTTTAACTATTAAAAGTCTTTTTTTGAATGAAGAAACTGGCTTTAATTATTTTAAAAACTGTTTTTCCATGATTTCATGATTAGGGAACTTCTATACTTGAAAGAATGGTCACTTGCACTACTAGGTGCACGTTCTAGTATCTATAAAAGAGCAGTCGATGGAATAATATGTCAATTAGGTTTATTCGCATATTTACTCCCTCTTGTGTTATTATTTAATCAATGAGTAGAGATGACTTAGAATTTGTAATATATTCATATTGGTGAACTATCTCGTGAAGGTCTTGATGATTGTACATCTGATCATGCAGATTCTATAATTAATTCTTTACTTCTCTCAAATGATAATCAACTATCAACATTTATATATAATCAGTTGCATAGATTAACGGTTTTCCGTGCTCATCTCTAGTAGATTTTATTTTAAAGATTGAGAAGCTGGATAGGTGTGGGTGTGTCTGAAATGTAATACTCACACTCACATCCAACCTCCAGTTGAATTGAGAAATGTCTTCTATTCATGTTAACATACTGATCTGTTCCACGGTATGTTGATATCTATAGAAATCATTTTTTTTCTATCTTTCATTTATTTATTCTTCACAGATGAAGTATTCTTTTTCTTTAAGCAGAAAGAATAACTTATAGTACTGAATGGGTACAGTTTTTTGTCTCTCCTCTCTCTCTTCGTTACTTTGAATAGCCTGTTGGGTGGCCGTTCTTTTTCTTATCCAACACAGAAACTCTACCTTGTTCAGATACAATAACTATATATCGTCAAGATCTTTTTCTACGGTACATGTTTATTTTCACAACAAAGTCAAGAATAAATTATAGTTTCTTTTTCACGTCTTCCAGATTGTTTCTATACCATTGCAGATGCGAGTGGTCTGATGGTAGTGATTGATGTGCAATATCTACAGCACGCTGACAGAATGAAAGCGCTTTAGAATGTTGTCCCATTTTGCTGTACACATTACCCATGTGTCCAAAGGACATAGCCAACTCAGGATGATTGGGAAGAAGTGATTGTTGTCGAATTTCAAGAGCTTTTTCATGAGATGAAAGTGCTTTCGGATAATCACCCATGTTGTAATGCACTAAACCAATGTTGTTGTAGGACTTAGCCAACTCAGGATGATTGGGAGGAAGTGACTGTTGTCGAATTTCAAGAGCTTTTCCATGAGATGGAAGTGCTTTCGGATAATCACCCATGTTGTAATGCACTAAACCAATGTTGTTGTAGGACTTAGCCAAATCAGGATGATTGGAAGGAAGATATTGTTGGTGAATTTCAAGGGCTTTTTCGTGAGATGAAAGTGCTTTCGGATAATTACCCATATCGGCATACACTAAACCAATGTTACCATAGGATTTAGCCAAATCAGGATGATTGGAAGGAAGTGATTGTTGTCGAATTTCAATGGCTTTTTCATGAGATGAAAGTGCTTTTGGATAATTACCCATGATATAATGCACATTACCAATGTTGTTGTAGGAAGAAGCCAAATTAAGATGATTTGGAGGAAGAGTTTTTTGATACATAGCAAGTGATTTTTTATACAGTGTAAGTGCTTCTTCATATTTTCCTTGTTCATCTTTGATCATACCAAGATGAACATAAATATATGCCTTGTTCTTATCATCTTCGGTTTGATGAAGTAAAACTTGATAGATATCTTCAGCTTTGTCAAATTGACCCATTTTCCATAGTACCAAACCCAGTCTGTACCATCCTCCAGAATCTGGATAACTCTCTTTTCGAATATAATCAGTAAGTCTGCTTAGTTCTGGATCATTATCAGCAGTCAGTGTCAAATTAACTTCATATAAACGATTATTTCCACCCATCTGTTTAATGTCCTGGATACGAAAAATGCTATGCATGGAAAATAAGACTTCCTCTTCCTTTTGGAATTTACTAATACCAGCAATGGAAGCAAATGGTATTGTTGATTGAGCAGGATTAACTTTCATAATAAAAAGTACACCCACTTGATCTGGATTTCTTGCAGCATTTTGAGCAAAACATAGTGAAATATTGCGAACCGTGCTGGTAGATAAGAAATTATTGAATGAAATAAGACCACCTTTAGTTTTGCTCATTTGTTCAAAATCTCCTGCAGATAAACCTTGACCACGATAAACGGTGAAAGTGTTAGCAGCAGTTGTACTAGCATATTGTTCCTTGTGCAGTTGTTCAATCTGTCGATGCAAATCACCGATGAAGAAGCCCATATGTGTAATGATATCACCATCCATCAATCGTAATGCACGATTCAGCATCGGATACAAGAACATTTGACAGGTGTACCAATAAATTGGTGTTTTGTTGTAGTATTGACTTTCTAATCGTTTAATGTTAACCATTTCTTCTTCATTATTGGCAAAAGCATCACGGCAGTAATTAAGATAATCTTGGATGTGCTTTTGGTTAAATTTGATGGTGAAAATGATTTCTTTGATGATTTGAGTATACATAAAAGAAGGATCTAATTGATCCAACTTTTTATTTGTTCCCATGAAACTCATGGGAATAGCATTCTGCTCACATTGATGAACAGCTTCCTTGAGTGCTTCACATATGGGTGTAATATCTGTGAAGACATCCTTTATTTTGGGCCAATCTTTAGTCCATTGTTCATGATATTTCTTATTGCCACAAAAAATAAATATTGAATCAACTTGAGACATATTGTGCACGCGAGGTACAATATGTTGTCCAAGTGATCCAGATATAATCATACATACCTTTTTGTCGACGATTGTTTGAATGAACTCAAGACATTGATCGCCATCTATAAATGTATTAATATCATTCACAATACATCGCAGTTTTGTGATTGTATTTTGACAATCATCATTTGTTTCGGCAATGTTACTATCCAACCAAATTAGAAGAACATTTTGTGCCTGTTGGATATTGATACATCGACGACCTTCTGCACCTTTTGGAACTGTCGATGCATTTGGTTTTGATTGTCCCTTGCCCATTGCTTGCTATGTAAATGATTTGAATTGGAGTTACTGTGAAAAATTTACTAGTGCAGTAATGATCGAAACCGTTCCGTTTTATAGGTGTCTACTTCGTTTCGAAATTTTTTTCTCTCTATTTAGCTGTTAATGATGTCACTATGAAAAACAGCATATGGAGAACGAAAAAACAACTGATGAAATATTGTCATGGTTCACTAACCATCGAAGTAGCTTGCGAAAAATAAGTATTTTGTTTACGGTGACGAAGAAAAAACGTATTGAGTCATGTTTGTTATTGGAGAATCCCAAGTAAAAAACGTATTTATATAGGTAAATTTTGACTAAATTACACAATTTGATGACATAATTCGTCATCGCGAATTTAAGACATAAAATTAAAAAAAGAATGTTTAAACTAGTTTTTATCATTTTTCTTGCTGTATTCTGTTGACTGAAAGCTTGTATGTAACCATTATGTAGATAACAAAGATAAACTTGGAAAAAAGTGCTTTTGTCATTAACAAACGTATAAAAAATGAAATTGACAGAAAAGGTCTCGATCATGTCTCTATCTTCTTTAGGTTTGGGCAGGCTCTCTTGCGAATGTAGATGTGGGTGAGTGTCGATTAACTCAAAAGATCACACTCACACCCAGAAGCAGATCGTGCACTTCTGTTCCAAAAGTATAATATTAATATATAATGAGTTTGCAAATCACTAGAAATACGTGACATATCAAAAAGAAAACCTTATTTAAACTGGCTAAAGACTTTATCATATACATACGTCTGTTCAAAGAGCAATTGTTCATAAAAACTCATGTCGTAGATATAAATTATGAACATCGAAAATAATGTTAAATTATTATTGTTCTATTAGAAGTTATAAATGACAGGATTGTTAACAATCTCCATAAAACACATGTATATGAGAGAAGCTGAGAAATCTTGCCATTTATTAAAAAATAAAAGCTCATCAAATATCTGATACTCATCGGTCTGACAAATTATTTGATAGAAAAAAATGTATGTAACTTATGTTCGAATGGAAACTGACTCGTTACGATTGTACAGCTTCAGTAGATCCAAAGTATATGAAGAAGATTCTCTAAAGAATGATAATAACGAGTCGCTTTTGATTACGAATCTTTATAATCATTAATGTACTGTTCTTGTTATTTCTTATGATAGAAAGTATTATTGTCTTGTTTGTATATTTAACTTGAAAGACAAGCAGTACATGTGGATTATTCGGTACAAGACTAGTTTTGTTTTTCATCTTGAGGGTGTGGGCGTGAGTATGGATGTTATTTCTGCCTTAACAACACCCACACCCTCAAGATGGCATTAACTATTAACTAATAAAGTAATTTTTATTAAAAACGATAAAATTTGATTTGTTATTTGTTAGGTATGTAGTTTACAGGATGCGAAAGTGATTGTAAGTAATATTAATAAAATAAATGTAGATAAAGTCATTAAAAAAGTTCATGAAAATATAGTTTAACGAACAGATTGAATACGAAGGTTACAACTCGATATAATGCACAAAAAAGGGTGTGGGTGTGATGGATGTCGATGTGAGTAATTTATTGGCTCTATATTTACACTCAAACCTAAATCAGCTTGTTCCCTCTTGCTTATATGCAACGGCTCGCAGAGAAACATATTTTGTTGCTACGGCATTAATAGTATATTCATCGATATTTCTTTTTGAACTTTTTAATCACTATTAGAATGCAAATTGTTTCCATTTTGAACTCTCACTAATTGACAATTTCATTCAATATCAAATTCTATCTCCGTTATTTCAAATGCTGGGTTCCTTGCAATCAGAAATTCACATTCAACAGGGAATTTAGATATCCAAGATACATCAGCACCAACCAATCGTTGACATCCATCTGGTGGTTCACTCGTATCAATTTCTAATAAACAGCCTTTTTCACACATAAAACCAAATGATACTTCTTTATCCCATGATGTACTGACAAATGTACCATATTTGAAGGGATTGTTAAATACGTATTTATCAACTTCAGTATCTCTTAAACCGTGGTAAACTAACGGCGGACGGTTTTATCTTTCATCATATTTGTACAATAGTCGAATAGCTGAGTTCAGTATTGCACCAAATATCGGCCACTTCTGCTGATGCCAGTTGTCTCCCGGTTCAAAAGGATTTTGTTGACAAAAAAGTATTTCATCCAAGCGCAAATCGGCATAAACAGCAGTGTCTGTGTACAGTATAACTGCAAGCATTTGATCGTAGTTTAGAGGCGACCCCATTCTTACGTGTCTTGGATGTTTCAATTTGTAACGTACAACATCACTCAAGCATTTATATGGGCCTCCTGTGGGGCACAAAACGTAACTAAACCCATTTTTGTTCAGTTCATTGATAAGATCCCCATCTTTTCCTGTATTTGTGCTTACCCGACATTCTGAGCGCTTACCAGGCTCCCATCTCTCAAAACCCGATGTAAATTTTTTCAAATTCATATTTTCTTCTACAGAAAGTTCACCACGTCGATCCACATGCAAGTAAATCGTACAGTGACCAATATCATGCATTTGGTATCCATTCTTGCACAGACGAATAAACGCGTCACAATATTGACCATATTCATCCATGTGTATACGATTTGCCGTTGTGTATTGATCATTTTTAATTTCCAAATAGAAATCACATGATGTATTTTTGGGACACATACGAAAAGTTGTGAAAGTAGTAGTTGTCATTGTATGATGTAGTGCTAATAGCTTTTATCAATACAACGTACTAAATCGGTTTCCAGACACTTTATCCACATTAACCGTAGCACAACTATAAAAGAAAGAAAGTGGTAATCGCATTGTGTATTTCGAAGGGAAAGAGCTACGAATATGAAACAGTCAACCCTGAAGTGGGTGTGGGTGTGGGTGTGGCTGTACCATGTTAAGAACGCTTAGATTCACACTTACACCCACACCCTGCTGATTTTGTATCGAATGATCGGAAGAAATATACCATTCTATAGTCTGTCCATGTCAATATATGACCTCTGTATATGGTTGTTGTTTAGTGTATGATGGTGAATAGACTTATCTATGCAACAGTTGAGAAAATATAAAATATCTTCAGAGTATCAAAATTTGTTAGTTGTCATTTTTCTTTGCTTTTACTGGTTTTTTGTTTATTAATGTCAAAGATGAAATCGGTCAGAATTTTTGATGACTTTTATATCTGTTCTTATCAAATTCTAAATAGCATTATATTGATAATTTGATTCTCTTCTACTAAATAGTTGATCATAATGAATAAAATTAGATGAAAAAAAGCAAACTAATCATAGAAAATAAAGAAAATATCAGGGAATTAAGATTAATAAAGATACTAGACAAGTGTAAAATGGATGCGTAAAAAAAATAAATCATTTAAATTTTTAACGGACAGTTAAATAATCAAAACCACAGAAATTAAGCAAATTTCAATAATATATACTTACTGATATCACGTACTCATATGTGTATAACACTATTTATTTTCTTCAGCAATTGCTTGGCTTGTTACTCTTGCAAGATGACAGAGCTTTATGTTTCCTTTTATTTGTTTTTACTCTTTTTTTTCTGTTTTACTCCTTTTTTCTAATATATTTCAGCCTTGTACGTGCCTGAAAACGATTGCATATAGTGAAAGTAAAGTAAAACGATTAAGATGACGAAGAAACGGCGAGTAATTATATGATCGAAAGAAAATTAAAATTTATCCAATGAAATTCATTTTCAATAGAATTCACATATAAATGTTTGAGTGAAACGATGTAAAGATTGATAATATCGCATAGTATTATTATTTTTCTAATTAAATAGATATTTTAGAAGATTCAATACATTTATTTTATTTCTCCATAAATAAAGATTTTTTTTGATGAAATCAATTACGAATAGAATAGTTTGTACAGTCAAACAATTGTCTATTTCGTGATTTGTCATATAATGGGTATTAATAATCAAGCTAAAAACTATAAAAACAACCATGAAAATATTTGTTGTAAAACGAAAATCTTTTTATCGTTATCTTCATAAAAATTATTTGTATGAGAATAAAACTAAATTTTATAAAATCTATTTAAAAATATTGTATTCGAAATAGGTAATTTTCGATGTTAAACAAATAACTGTTGTTTTTTTGTCTATTTGAACGTTTCAAAATAATTTATTCACAAAACTTTATCCTTAATTCTTTATTTCTAGTTATATGTTATTGTGAAGTCTCGATGATTATTTATTAAAGAATAATTTATTAAAATGTGCAATTAATGCATAAGAGTTATTATGCAAGTCTTTTGACATTATTTTCTTTAACTCTGTTCTATACAAAACATGAATAATAATCAATTTGTTCATTTCATATCATTTTTAACAACAGAAAAACAAAACATCTAATTTATTAACAAAAAAAATAAACGTTTGACTTCTTTTCGAAATGTTTTCGATATAACTAAATATGCATAATAACCAATACAAAATGAGATATCACTAATAAAATATGCTACTAAATTCAGAAAGTTGTTGATCTGTGTTAAGCCAACATTCTGTACGATCTGATAATATATAACGACAACAAACAGCATAGCATTACATGCTATGTAAATACAAATATCCATAACTACCATTAGAACAAATTGTCGATCTTTCGCATGAAAGGGATGTTCAGAGTGTCGTGGTATATTTACAGTATTCGCCGTTACAGGAGCAATGCGTCGTTGATGCAGTTTTCGAATGTTTTTTGCAGTCCATATGCCAAAAATAATCATTAACAAAGGCACTGCAATTGCTTTAACGAACAATGAATAATAACTCAAGAGAAGGGTATATAGGCCTGCTCGAGCGTAACACATAAAATAATCAGGTGCTATTTCTTGAATATCGACTAAGAATAATGCATGACAATGAAACAAAATCCAAAATAATGTTCCACAACCGATACAGATATAAGCGAAACGAAGAGTACTTTTTTGTCGTGTTCGAGCATTTGTTGATGTGACTAAAACTCAGTCGATTGAAGCCAAGATAAGATAAAATGGGCTGAGAATATCGAATAAATACGATCTGTAATAATAGAAACGACACATGAAGAGATTATATATAATAAGATCTGTGCCATAGCCAACTGTTAATATAAGGAATAATAGTGCTAAAATAATGTATAAGAAATTAGCGATATTCACTGCTATCAAATAGAGAGAACATGGAGTTTTACGTTTGATTTTTCTGAGTGAAAACAATCAGATTGATGTCACAACTGACAACACCACACACCAATAATATTGGACCACCGATTCGAAATAAATTTGTCTGTACTGATTGTAACAATGTGAAAAAACCGTCTGACGAAGACATGTTTCTTTGAGAATAACTTTGATATATCTGAAAAATGTTTTTTTTTGTTCGAGATAAAACTTTTAAATGAAAGAGTGTAATAATAATGAGTCGGATACAATTGTTTGATTTTGCCACGTCGGAATCATCTGAAACAAAAATAACCACAAGTTTTACGAACAAAGCACAGATATTTTTAATAAATTTAATGAGAGTGTAACGATGTTTGTTCCTTTTTATCTTGTTCTTTTATTCTCTCTGGTGAGCGAGTTTATAAATATAAATATCGAACAAAAGCTTATAATTAATTGTAAAGAAATATATTTTTCATTAGAAAAATGATTAATGAAGTCTCTTGAAAATAAAATAATTAAATGAGTTGATATAATAATCAATTTAAAATTCCATCTATACTGAATTTAATTGAGAAAAATACTAAAATTATTTTACTTCGAATAAGTTATTTATTTATTTTGTTGACTATAATCACGAATGCAATGACTTGCTTTGCCAAATAATTTTCGATTTGAATTTGGAACTGATTTTTCTCGATGGCTATTATCACCAATACTTGATGAAAATCTTAATGATATGTCAATCTTGAGGGTGGGTTGGGTAATAGTTAAGATTACACTCATACCTCATATCTGAATCAAACTTAATTCAAATATTAAAAACTCATTTTTAATTATTATATTCATTTATTTTTTAGTCAAAATAAACAAAAATATTTTCATAAAAACATTTAATTATTCATTTCGTCATTAACATCAACAAATTTAATTCAAATCAATATCAAATTTTTGTATTCGATGATTACACCAATCGACCACATAGAGATTACCTTGAACATCGAATGATAAACCTGTGGGACCATTGAACTGATTTGTTTGCTTTCCTTTTTTATTTCGACCAACAACAATATTACCTTCCTTAGATCCTTCACACCAACGCATTATTCGATGATTGTTCCAGTCAGCCACATAAACATTACCCAAATGATCGACAATCACTCCTTGAGGTTCAGACAATAGTGTTAAACGATTCCCTTCAAATTTTCCACCAGCAACAACAATACCTTTTTTTGCACCTTTCATCCATTTCATCACGCGATGATTCTCAGAATCCGACACATAAACTGAATAATCTTCATCAACGAAGATATAAGTAGGCCAATTGAGTTGATCGAGATGATCTCCTATTCCATTTCCACCTGCTACTATTGTTCCTTCTCTTTCTCCTTGTTCCCAACATCTCACTTCATTCTTCTTTGTGTCAGAGACATAAAGATTTCCATTGCTATCCATTGTTAGACCTCGGCAATCAATGTCAGAAATGATTGTTTCTCCATTTTTACCATTTTGACGAGGCCATCGTACCACTCGTCTGTTTCCTCTATCACAAATGATGAAAGAATCATTTATTTTATCAACAATCACGTTTATTGGATGACTCAATTGATCAGTTCGATTTCCCTCTCCATTTGCACCTGCAACAACTTGACCATTCTTTGCTCCATATTTCCATGCAACAATACGGTGATTCAACCAATCAGCAATATAAATGGTTTGATGGCCATCATCAACATAGACAGCATGAGGACAACAGAGTTGATTTAACTGATTGCCTTGTCCATTTCCTCCAGCGACAGTAACTCCATGTTGTTTCCATTTTGTGTTGATATTAATGTGATTGACAGGAATTGTTTGTTCTGAAAGAAAAAACATTTTGCGTATATTTGAATGAAAAACACGTTTTGGCCTGTTTGTGAACTTTTGTCGCAGAGTCAATATTTATCATTTTTATCATAAAGGATAAGTATAGGAAAAACAGAACTTTTATTCTTTTACTAATGTATAGTAAAATCATTATTTGTTACATTGTATTATAATTGATATAAATCATTCATTTATATTACAAATTTAATTAGACATGTGATGCTGTATAACTTGAATTATAAATGATATCGAAAGAAAACTTTCTCTTTTCCTTTTCTTCTAAGCATACATGAAAGTGTCGCTTTGATTATTTTCATATATTTACGAATCGATACTAATCACTAAGTTCTTCATCTATATTCGCACTCGAATTAGATAACTGATGCTATATTCACATTCTCTTATATAATTTACTATTGATGGAGAGATCTCTCACTTTATTCATATAAGTGTCATAATTTAGAAAGACAAATAAGAACTAAATATTAATGTTATCGTGAAAAATATGTAACAGTCTAATGGTAGGAAAAGATAAAATATCATTAGAGTTCATGTTAGTCAATATTGAATGTATCGATTTGATTTCAATTCTAAATAATTTTCTGTCATCTAAAATAACTAACTGATAAACACAAAATAAAATTTTTGTAAAAGAATATTTATTTGTTTCAACTAATTTCACCTTTCTGAATTTTTAAAGATTTTTTTCGGCGATAAAAAAATGATTTTTATATGGATCATTCGCTTGTAAATCAGAGATTTTCTCTCAGTAAACTTACCGATCGAATTGTTTGTTTTATTAACATTAACATTAGTAGCTGATGGATTTTTCTCTTTGAATGTAAGTAATTTTTGACGCCATTGAACACTCATATCATAGTCCCCTTTCTGTGATGTGAGTTTACCAAGGTCTTCATATAAACTGATATGTAATGAATCATTCGATGGAAGTTGTTGCAACGAACGAGTAAAATATTTTTCAGCCAAATCAAATTTACCCATTTCCCATAATACATTCCCTAATATTCGAAAATTCATTTCACCACTTTTGATTTGTTGTTTCATATACATAAGAACTTGTTTTAAATCATGTTCGTCATCATTACATAAAGTCATTTTAATGATCCATATTTGATCATCATTACGATCAATATTACCAAGACGAAAAATAGAACCGATCATAAAGAGAACTTCTGATTCATCTGGGAAATCACTATGTTCACTAATATCAGCAAATGGTTTTGTAGTGACTATCTTAGGATCAGCATCAATTTCAAATAATACTCGTTCTAAATCAGTCTTTGTAGTTATATCACCAAGGAGGAAGAGAGCTGTTGTACGTTGTTTACTAGTGGAAAACATTGAATTTATAGAAATGAACTGACCAATATTATTTTTAAGACCATTTAACTCATCGATCGACATTAGTTGACTTCGATAAACTTGCAAAGGATGGTTAGATTGATATTTTTGCAATTCACGATAAATATCATAAATAAATGATCGAAATAAAAATATCATATGGATATTTTGTGTACGTAAAGCTGCATTAAGAATCTTGTAGAAGAATGATTCTTTTGTGTACCACCATAACACTTTATCCGGCGAATAATCTTGTTGAAATTCACGCAGATTGTTTAGCTCGGTATGATTTCCTTCATATTCATTTACACAAAGATTAATAAGTTCATTTTTGTCTACTTCAGTTGATTTTAATTGTAGAAGACAGTCAACGAGAATTTGAGAAAAAACAAATTGTCCATTAACTCCTGTTGTTGACTTCCCCGCACCAACACTTGTTGTAAAAGTATAAATTGAGAATGGTTCTTCTACCTTTTTCTGAATTTTATGATCTGTCGTAATTTGAGATACAAGTTCATCAAGATTAACAACAACAGATTTTATCTGTAGAAAAATTAATAAAATGAAACAAACTTCTTTTAGAAAAATTTTACTTTGGAAAATTTGCAAGTCCATTGTTCATTACTCTTCTTATCCATACAATAAACATAAATTGATATAACTTGTCGAAGTTGATGAATGAAGGGTACTATTTCTTGTCCTAAGCTACCACTAACTATAATTACTAATCGATCTTTTTGTGATGTTTGTTCAATATATTGTTGACATTGTTTTATATCTTGAAATTTCTTGATATGATTAATAATGGAACGTAATCTTACTTCTGTATCTCGAGTGTCTTTAACGACTACATTTTCATAGAGCCAAATAAGTGAGAATATTTCCAGAGACTTATCATCGGTATTTGTGTAGAAACCATCATTTGGTAGAAGAGCAGTGGCCATGTTAGTTAAAAAGACTAAACATAGTATAGAGTTCTAAAATGTTGTGTTTACTTTATAATATAATTATCGAATAAATTCTGCGTTTTTGCAGTCAAAAAAAAGAAGGTGACATTTTTTGTATTATTGTTTCATTTGTTTATGGTATTTTTATGTCAGTTTTTTCAAACTTTGATGTAAATTAAAAGAATAAAAGAATAATATGTTATTATTGATTAAAGAAATGGAACTGGTTATGGGTGTAGATTTTGTATTGATCATACACCCACACCCACACCCTCTATGATATGCTCCTAACAACTTAATGTTCCCTTGACTGTAGTCAGGGTCTTCATCTCTCGAACGACTGTGTATTTGCATGTTTGTCCGCAGAGCTTTTACAGTCAAGGAACGTAGTGAATCGCGTCAATTCATGCTGCTTGTTCTCATCAATATCAGTTTATTTACTGACTTATTCACGCAAACACATGAATAATATTTCTGAGTGTAACTAATAAGAATATTTCTGTACACAACATGAACAATATTATCTGATATAGACAAAAAATTATGATTGAATAATATTAACCTACCTTAGAAGTCAAAGCGAGGATCAACAAGATATTTGAAAAGAGTTAGCTACGAGGATGAAAAATGAGTGGATTAAGTGAAATTAAATCTTCTATATACACGATGCTTATCTCTATTCTTTGTATTCGTATATATTTGCGCCAAGTCGTTCTTCTTAGGAGTGTTATTTTATCTTTATTTTACGTTATAATAAAGAATAAAGTAACAAAAATCTTTATCTTTATTTTATAAATATAAAGGCTTACTTTGTTTCGTTATAAAATAAAGATAAAGTAACATCCCTAATTCTTATTTGTCTCTTTTCCTAGTTCTTATCAACTCATAGAAGAGTTTATTACGAGCAAACAAAAATGACAACGTAGTAAACTAAAAGTTGTTTAGAAATGAATCGATTTCGATGGAAACAGAAAGTTGAAGAAAGGAGCACAAACATATCAGAGATATCCATTGCGGTTGAGAATGTGCCGCTGGCGCACCGCGACGGTTTTCAAAAAAAGAAACCGTGCCGCTGCCACGACCGCCACCACGGTAGCGATAGCATCACCATGGACATGTCTGAAATATGTTGGGAAAAATATTCAATAAGTCATAAAGGTATAACTCATACGAAATAAATTATTTATTAATGTCTGAAAATAACTACGTAGAAGAGTAAATAGCTTTGGAAAAACCATCTTGAGGGTGGGTGTGGGTGTCTCTTCTTTCAACCCACAACGACACCCACACCCTTTAGTCGAGGAAATTACCATATCTGTAAGGAAATTCATATATTTATACATATATATTACCATACGTTTCCGTACTTTTTTGTACTTTCCGGGACTTCTTGAGACTTTGGTACTTCGGAGGTACAGTTGTCTCTTTGTTCCCCCTTGATTAAAACACACATCGATATCAAGGGAAAACAAGCTAATTTCTTGATTTCTCGGTGATTTGCGGCTAGAAATCAGTTTGTTCTCCCTTGAAATATCAAAGAAGGGAGATTTATAAAAAGAACAAAATAATTAAATATTCAATGTCAACTTTTTTGGGAAGAAGCTTAGTCTAGAAAAATTTGATTGCCTTTTTACCATTTTAATATTAGCAGTTCTGAAGAGTTGAGTGCAAAAGTTTGTGTGTATTCAGTACAAAACTTACGATTAGTTAGCTCTCTATAATACTAATATTATAACAGAATAAGAATGGAAGTATTTGTTTACAACATGCTCGAGACGATCGAAACTAAATGATCATGCGACGAATTGCCCTAGTATCATACCATATTCATCGAATTCTTCATATATTCAAATAATAAAACATCTAGAACAGCCAATAAAATTCGAATCTGTGTTTTTTAAATAATTGTGCAAATATGCGACCGTACAGTAATTCCAACTGAATTTGTGGCGAATGTGTATTTTTTCAAGAACGTATCGTATTTGAGTACCGCATGAACCGTTTGATCCATATTGTCATTATAGCGAACTGTTCTATCTTTTGACAAGTCGTTAATCCATTCTCTTTTGTCATTAATACCGTTCTCAGTTTCAATAAATATTAAAGAAACCTTCTCGCTTTGTAGTTGAGAATTTGCCCATGTCATTGCATAAGTTAATTCTTGAAAATTAACAATACTATTACAGTAAGCATTTGACACTAATATGATAAAATAAATTAAAAGAAATTGAAAATGTAAATAAATATTCATACTAACTAAGACTTTACAACTTCATCAATTTTACCAATATCTATTAAAGAATTACAAAAAATTGGTTTATTCCATCATCGACAAATGTTAGAAAAGCAGATTGAACATATATATATATATATGGTTTATATTGGGTTTAAATGGCCAAATGAATAATTCATCATTGATTATAAACAATCGACCAATTGAACTTATTGCTAGAATAGTTGAGATGTGAAACACGTACTGAATATTGCATACTATCGAAAGCTTTATAGGATTGTAATATTATAATGTGAGTTTCTTTTGACTTTTCTATTTTTCTTCTATTCTTGTTAATTCTTTTATAAAGATAAAATTGTAAAAGAAGAATTCAATATTGGAGGTACATATGGTATCAATATACAAATGATATTACTAATTATCCGTATCCATTTAGTTTTGTTCAAGTTAGTTGA